CATTCCCTTTAATAGCTTTCTCTGGAAAATGCACGACATAGCAGCAGCTTTTCTGTGCAGGAACTGGAAAACAACTCAACAGATGGTCTGGAGAATTTATAAAATTAGAAAAACAAAGCAGCAAAAGGCATTGGCTCAACAGCACTACTTCTAGACTGTCTCTCTTTGACGCAGCTAGTCTTGAAGCAGTTTATGAGCTTCAGCCAAGACAAACAGTCAGGTCCATTTGGGAATTTTGCTTTGGAGCAGCACATTAATGCTCCTTAAAGAGATGCAGGGCATGTAGTGGATGTTTTCATTATCAGCAGTCCTAATCATCCCAAATCTTTCTTGCTCACTGTTAGCATACCCTCCTGCCAAGACTGCATCAAGCACAGATGAGCTGTCTTATACAGTGCTTATATTTATCCTGCAGGAAAAATAAACCCTGAGAGAATGGAACCTCTCCTCCAGACAGTGCACCATACAGAAACACATGGGCTCTCAGAGGTCTTGTCCCTGCCCAGGAGACACTACCTGTACCCATAAATGGTACACAGATGGTACATAGATGGACAGCTAACACAGTCCTCTTCTCTACAGCCTCCCCAGAGACTATGACCAAAACACTGATCCCTTGAGATGATCAACAAAAAAGAATCATACCAGGGAGCTTACTGACCAGATCAACCAATCTCAAAAGTAACAGTATGTTTAGTTGGGGTAAATCTCTGATCTAACACAAGTACTAGTTGTAGGGATGGATTATCCCGATTGATTCTTTGCAGTCAGGCAGATCTGTGATCCTACTTAGTGTAGCATTTGCATTTTTTCACTTTTATTACCAAGAGAGAAAATAAGCGGGACAAATCTCACAGAATAAGAGTGAAGAATTAAAAAACTGGATATGGTAAAAAAAAATCTGTTCAGTCTGAGACTGCCAACTCCTCCATTATTGCACTGGTAATATATAGGTAGCATTAGAGTGGCAAAAATTTTTACTTCAAATAATACTGTGCCACATCACTGTCTGCAGCAGGAATTCTGCATCTTAGGAATTTCAGCCTTCCCTCCAAAGCTGCTCTGCATGGCCATGTCCCCATGGTGACTTCTGTAAGGAGCTGGGTGGTAGCAGCTCTGAGCATCCCAGAGACCTCCCCTAGTTCTGTTAACAATTCTCTCCAGAGAAGCTACAAATAAATAGCACCTTGTTCTAGTTTGCACAGATGGAGAAAGCTGTGATGCTGTATTGCTGCTGCAGACCATTCATTCCAAGATGAGAGCCCTGTGGTAGCTGCTTCGAAGTTACAAATCAGCTGTTGCACTGCTTACTGCAGTTGAAGGTTACCTGCAGCATCAGCTGCTAGATTAAGCACTGCAAAATTGGAGAAACTAGAGTGAAATAGTGAATTTCACCCCCTTCAACTGTGTGCTCAGTTCTGTTCTGCCACTTTCTCCTGGGGGTTGCCACCGAGGTGAGGACACAACACCTTCAGCTGCCTAAGTTTCTTGCTTTCTTGCTGTCAACTTTACTAATGACAAGCTCACAGTTCCTCTATTTTAGAGAACATACCAGATAGAAAAGAATGATGTTGGAGAACAAAATCAAAATGAGACGAAGCATCTTAAACAAAGGTTGTTTTGCGTTTAATTGCTATGAAAATGGCATTCAATTCTGCATTTCTGCATTCTAAAATTGCTGTTTCCTATCTGGGAAACACTAATATCACTTTGCATCTCATGTCTTTGTAAAACTGTTGGTAGTGAGTAAGAGATGGTGGCTGTGCTGTTCCCCTAGGTGACACAGTGAAATTCTTTTGGACTTTTTCAGCTGCTGTTACTGGGAATAACCTCCACCTGCAAATGTAGGTTGGTTGCTTTTATATCTTTCATTAAAGGAGAACACAAGATTGGGCCAAACAGAGGCTGGAACTAACAGTTTTCTCAATGGTGAAAGACTCCTACACGAGAACGTATTCTTGGCAAGTTCAAGTTCAATTCCAAATGTGCAGCCTAAAGATGAACAGACTATGCTACCCAGTGCTGGTCCACACCAATCCAAATGGTCTTCTAGGAGAGGTAGTTTCCTTTTTTGAGTTGCAGGTTCAGTCAACATGGAGCACAGAATGAAGGTTAAATCTCTGTACTGGACTAACACTGACAAGTTACACAGAGCATTTTGATATTTCCAAATTTGAGTGACTGAACTCAACATAATCTGGTGAGAGTACAATGCTGGAGGCAAGTCACTGTGCTGTGCTAGTGATTTTTATGAGTTGATTCCTGTTCTTATTCCCTGTAAGTTCTGTGGTCCCATTTTAAATAATATTGTTTATTTTCCTGAAAGTGTTTAATTACACTATCAGTTTAAGACAGTTTAATTAGATAGATTTGAACTACTTTTGGCATACAGTCCAAGCTGGGATTTTAAACAGATTTATTACTTTCTATGGCTATTCCTTCAGGATGGGCAGGGCCCAGTCTGAACTTGGTGCCTGATGTTTAGTCATGAAGTCTTTATTAATATTCTACTATTCTGGTCACAAGGAGGACTTCTTTTATATTCTCACTTCTACTATACTGTAGTAGCTGGGAAATTACAGAATCATGGAAAACTGGGCTGAGAGAAATCCTGTAAAACTAGTCTACTGCCTTGTCCCATGGTAGACTGTACATTCCTAAACTGCTTCTAAGAAAAGGTTCATTTTACTTAATCTTAAAACTTCAAATGATGGAGATTCCACAATCTCTTTGGGGAATCTCTTACAGTGTTTTTCTGTCTGGAGGATGGGTTTGCCCTCAGCTGACTTTGCTTTATTCTTTGTTGTGCAGCAAAACTTGAAAAGGAGATTCAACACAAGAAAGTAAGACACAGGAAGTAGAAAGGACTTGCAACATCAACAAATCCAGCTCCTTACCGTTAGGGGCAACCATGTCAGATAAAACCTTTTCTGCGTACATACGGAGCTCAAGAGTTGAACTGACTGGACTTCTTCCCAAATGCTCAAAACAAATTCTGCCAGAGAACCTCAACTTTCTCAAAGTTAAGAATCTCCCATAAAGTAGAACCATGAAATCAAAAGAGTGTTACAAAGTCTGTGAGGTACACTTCTAGGTATATTACATGCAGATAAAAATTTTACAAAGCGCTGAAAGATTTGGTGGCAAAATCTCAAAAGTGAAAGGTAGATCCCTCCTTAGAATTGAAATCCCTTCTGATACAGATGATGACACTTCTAAATTTCCCAATGTAGTGTTTGAGATCTCATGAAATAACAGCCCTTCACCAAGACAGCATGAGATGATCCTAACCTTCAACAGAAGTACGTCTAAGAAAGGAGAATGATATTGGGTTCAGGAAGCAAACAAACATTGTGACTCTTGTAAAAAAATCCTGGAAAAAGCATTCCTGGAAGGAGAGAGGCCAGGTGGATTTAATGTCAACACAGAAATAACAAGAGAAAGTTATACTGAATTCAGTAGAATGGGAGAACAATGTTTCTGAGCTGAGGATGAAGATGTTAAGACCTGGGAGAAGGGTGTAACTTCAGTGAATCCCTGCATGTTTAACATGATGGACATCTTAGTCATAACTGGTGCCTCAGACAGCATTTGCCAACCCCTGTGTATTAAAGCGTTCTGCAAGATGCAATTCCATGTATTAATGTATTGTTGAAAATATAAAAAAAAAAGGCATGAGTTGCCTGTCTGTGTTTAGGTATCTTCATTACTCTCCTTATGACATGCCACTGAATTTAAACCCTAAAAAAAGACTCAACTAATTTTAAATTATGGAGGTTGATCTGAAAGGAATGCCTCCTATTTTATTATGTTGGCCCATGACTTTAGAGGTGGATGTTGGCAGTATGGCAGTGGAGGTCAGGCCTTCTCACAAATATTCCATTACATTTTGTTGCTGTGTGACAGATGGTAGCTGAGGGGCAGCCTGACAAAATGGTGCCTGATATGGAAGTGTGCTTGAAGAAAAGCTGTGTAATTAAATGCCTTCACCCAGAAAAAAAACCACCCATTGACATTCATCAACACTTGCTGAATGTTTATGGAGACCAAACAGTGGATGTTGGCACGGTGAGGTGGTGGGCGGTGCATTTCAGCAGTGGCAACAGTGTCAGAAGGTCACCTCTGCTGGTGCAGATTTTTATGAGTTCGGCATTCAGGCTCTTGTCCATTACTGGTGAAAATGCATAGCTAATAATGGCGACTTTTTTTTGCAAAACAGTCTTTAGTAGCTGAGAATTTTCTCTATTAACTGGCATTATTGTCCTCTTTGTATCTGTTATAGTTTCCATGAAAATATATAGGAGTCATTACTTTCAGAGCAATCTACATATGTGAGGTCAGAAACTTTGTCCTTTGAGCTGTGACAACTGACTTGGAAGAGTTTGTATCTTACTCTATGATACAACTATACTAGCAGAATGTCATGGCCCAATGGATTGGACAACCCCTTCAGACAGCATCTGCTGAGGTACTGAATACTATCAATGAAGTCTTAAATTCCAAACTAAATTAAGCCAAACTAGCACTGAACCACAGTCTTCCCAGAAGAAACATCTTTTTCCTAAGGTTCATAACTCAAAATGAGTCATACTTGATTAACTTTACTTGGGCCAGGAGACTATCATGGGATGCTATTTCTATTCCATTTTAGCAAAGTCACAGCAAGCATCAGAATGACGTTCAGCATGGAATATATTATAGCCTTGACATAGTATCACCAGTATACCATAATGAAAACAGAACTAGGAATCTTCTCTATTAGCAGAAGTTGCTGTTTTTTCTTATTTTCTTATTATTATGTTTTAATATTTGGCATGTCTACTCTCCAGTGAAAAAGTTATTAAATACATATGAGACTCCAATCCAGAGAGCAACTGTCCTGCTCAGTTCTTGGTGGGGTAATAGATCGGAGAGTTTCACCTCCTCCTTCTCCTCACAGCTGCCCCGCACACATGCACACACACACAGAGGCCAGGAAACTCTACACCTATAGCACCTACCTTGGGTTTGAAGGCAATTAACTTCAGGACCATCTCGACAGTGAAGAGCCCAGTGAAAAGCATGTTGAGGATGTTCATGGCTTCCTTGAACATGCAGCTCTGACCGTAGTGCTGAAAAACATCATCCCGGCAGCAGTGAGGAATGGACATACCAGCTAGTCATGTACATGCATGGCTACTGCTAATCTTCCTCCATATCAGAGTTCTTGAAAGGAAATCCCGGTATGCTCCATTTAAGAAAGATGTATAATTCCCATCTCCCTTCAAACATAAGCATTTCCATACCTCTAGCCATTTTTGCCATCTGACTCCGAATCTCATCTCTTTTCAAAAATGTCACACTTATCATTCCAATTGAGGGCTCATTATAAATCTGCACACATGGTGCAAGCAGTTTGCAGTTGTGTTTATCTCACCTTTCTCTAAGACTTGGGTCACTTTTTTTGTTTGATTGCTGTTGTGTTGTGAATGGACGTTTCACTGCACTGTTCATAATGATACCAAGCCATTCCCCAAGTAATTGCACTTAATTCAGGACTCTACAAATACATGAGCAGCTCAAATCATATCTTTCCAAAATACATTATCTTGCATTTGTCAATTTTGAATTAAATTTGCAATCATGCTGGCTATTCACTTAACTTTATTAAGATCTTATGAAGTTACTCTCTGTCATCTATTGATTAATTCATATACTGTCTCCTGCAGATTTTGCCACCTCACTTTCCATATCCCTATTTCCAGATCTTTACTCTTGGGACTGATTGCCTTGCTCAAAGGTTGTCTTTCAGTGCATGTTCCTCTGTTGTTGCTTAATTTTGATAATTTTAACAACTTGGGCTGAATTCTCATATTCTGCAATAGCTGAGGGTGACTTTTTTTGAAAGGAATTTCTGTTAAAATAATTCAGCTGCCAATGAAGGACAGGCCAGGGAAAAAGTACATTGTTGAGGCGTTTTCAGAATTTATTGTGACATTTCCCTCGTGAGATTCTAGTATCTTTAGGACTTAAAAACTTGGAATTTTACTGGAATGTGGCTTTTGTGTCAGCTGTTCCTTACGAAGTTTGACAAAATATGACCATAAGCTTTTGAAAAACTACATTTTCATTAGGATGAGTATAGGCTTCCTAGAATCTCCAGAGATGCTGTCCTGTCTGCAGGCTCACAAACATCTCACAGCTTCTAGCTCCATCTGCCCTTTCTGTCCACCAATGTTTCAGCAACTGAGCATGCTCCAGAACTTGAGAATGAACATAATAGTCCTCTGTTGCTTCATGACACAGCAAAGCAGTAGATCCTACAGATGAGAGCAGAGAGGAACCAACTCAAAATGAAAAGGGAGGCAAGAGAGATCTTAAGCAAAGAGTTGAAGGAATGAGCCAGAAAAGGGCAGACTTCAAGAAATGTACAGAACAGACAGTGTCTCTCTTAAGCCTCATTCTCTGACTAAAATTAATACGGAAATTTTTTTGTTAACTGACCACTTTGTTATGTCTTCTTCCTCTTCCTTGCTCTTACACCTACACATATTTCACTATTACTTTTATTTGCCCTTCTTGGAGATCTAGCTTTGGATATCTCTTTGGAGGACGGGCAACCTGGTCTAGTGGTTGGCAACTCTGCACATAGCAGGGGGTTGAAACTAGATGATCATTCTGGTCCTTTTCAACCTAGGCCATTCTATGATTCTGTGATTCTATGATGACAACTAACACTAGTTTTTGAAAAACCTCAAGCATTAAGGAAAATTCTCAATGTAGTGATAGTAGCACCACTAGTGAAGTGAGCTAGCACTCATCTATCAACAATATTTTAGGTAGAATTGATCCCAATTTGCTGTGATGGAGAAAAGAATACAGCCTCTTGCGGTTCTTTCTAAAGAAATTTCTATGATTCTTAACACAGAACAAAGTAGATACCAGGGATCTCCTATGCTCTACTCCCACTTTCATAGAACCATAGAATCATTAAGGTTGGAAAAGACCATTAAGATCAACTATTACAACCATCAACCCATCCCCACCATGCCCATGAACCACACCCCTCAGTTCCACATCCACACAGTTCCTGAACATTTCCAGGGACGGTGAGTCCGTCGTCGTCCCCCCCCCCCCCCGCTGCCTTCTTGGCACCGTTGGCAGCCTGTTACAATTCTCTTTCTGAGAAGAAATACGTCCTTCCTGGAGCCCTTTGCCCTTCAGGACTGTCACACAAGGGACTCTCCCAACCAATGTCCTGAACAGTCTTCCCTCCAGAAGTTCAACACAGCAGTTTTGCTAACTCCTTTCCTGACTTAACCAAGAACAGAGAACTCTATCACTTCGTGGTTACTACACACAAAATAGCTTCCGACAACTACATATATCAATCCTTCTTTGTAAACAGCAGATCTAGAGAGATGCCTTCCCTGGTAGGCTTTCTTACCAGCTGTGTCAGGAAGTTATCTTCCACACACACCAGTAATCTCTTAGACTGTTTCTTTTCTGCTGTATTGTATTTCCAGCAAATGTCTGATAAGTGGAAGTCCGCAATGATAATAAGGGCTACTGCTTGCATGACTTGTGTCAGTTGCTTGTCAAATACTTTATCCTGATTGGGTGGTCTATAATAGACTCCCACTGGGAAATTAGCTTTGTTGGCCTTCCTCCTTCCATGTACAGATTCAACCTAATAATTAGCAGCACTGAGCTCTACAACATCAAAAGAATACCTGACATACACAGCCCTAATTGCTTTGTTTACCAACCTATTTGCACCCTATTTTTTAACATAGGAAAGGCCAAAACTGAAAATTCATATCTCAGGTGATTTTGACAGTTCAAGGTTTATTCTTGCACTTCATAGAATACAAGTCAGAACTGAGAAATCACTTGCATTGTACAATTCCTTTAATAATGTTCCTCTCCCACTCTCCCTCAACTCATGATGTGAAAGCAAAAGTAGGTCTCAATCTCTGTAATTTCTACATTTTCCCCAACAAAGCCTAACAATTCATCACCTATGAGGATTTCTATTTGCTTACTTACTTGCATGGCCAGACAGATGGTGTTCAGCAGGATCAAAACGAACATCAGGTATTCAAAATAGGTGGAGTTGACCACATACCAAACTTTGTACTGGTACTGATTTTTTGGGATGTATCTCCGCAGGGGCCGGGCCTTCAGGGCATACTCTACGCACTGGCGCTGTGAAAGAGATATGATATGTTTAAAAATCAAAAACAGAATACAAGGTTGATTAGCTACTTCCAGATATTATAAAAGCACAACGTGTTTCAATCTATTTTCTTAAATTACTGCTTAGAACAAGAATTTCTTTTAGGTCGTACAGAGAAAGTGTATGTTCTACCTGTTTTAGACATCCATATGTATTTTCTTTGGACAGAGAACACTCATCTAATCTCACTGAGCCAAATGGCACAGCACATATTTTAAAGTAAATATTTTCATTTGTGCAAATCTTGCAGATTCATCTTGTTTGCATTTTCACATGTTACTCTCTGTATATATTTCTCTCTTAAATTCTTATTGTCCATGCATTTCTATCTTTAGAGGCAGTAAGTGGTCATGAATTACCTGGTTCTTGTCCAGCTCACAGTTCTTGTATTCTTGTTCTCCTTGTTCCTGAAATGTGACGATGACGAAACCAACGAAGATGTTCATCATGAAGAAAGCAATGATGATGATGTAGATAATAAAGAAGATGGAGATCTCAACCCTGTGATTATAGATGGGTCCCACATCCTCCATGTGGGAATCAATGGACCTATACAGCAACCTGGAAGCAAACAGGAGCCCAATGCAGAGAAAATCTGCAGCTGTCATGAGGCCTTATAGGTGATATTATAAAACTCATCTGTGCATTTTTTTCTACTTGTATCAAAATTACTTCATTCATAGATGCACTGATTTGCACTGATTTGAGTATAAACTCTTGCAAAAAAGAGGACACAACTTTTATTAACTTAATACACTTGAATCTGGTCAGGGTCAAGGGTAAACTGTATTTCTAGTTGAACAATAAAAACTTAAACAACAACAAGCATGCCCTTCAGTTAACAGAAGAGTCCATGTTGTTGGGAACTGAGTTTTGTGAGAAAAAAGGATCTCAACACTTTAACATTTGTTAGTGCTGCTGTTGGCATCACCTGGTGACACAGTTCAGGGACAAACCCAGGATACCCTAGCAAACCTATGTCAGTCTGACTGAGTGAAACCAAGGGTATCCTTGGTCTATGTGACATAGACAGGACAGCCTGGTGAGTTATCTTGTGTCTATCTGTATTGCCAGCATTGGTGGATTTCATAATGGCCCACTGGCTCCATAGGAAACTTTTAACATTTACCAGTATTGACAAGTGCCTGACAGGCATTTTTATCCCTCTGTATACACAGTATTTGTAACAATTATTGCTACTATTGCTGCTGTTGGCAATAATTTCTTAAGAGCTACAGACAGCGCTGTAAGCTGTTAACAAGCACAAGAACTGCAGTTCATGCAGGTCCTGAGGAATTTACAAAGCTCATAATACTACAATGACTGCTGCTACTATTGCTACATTTAATACTCTAAAATTTTTAAATACTTAGAATGGGAAAGATAGTTCTCTACATTTGAATTTTCTCTTTTGAAATGAATGAGGACATTAGTAGTGAAGCATTGGACCAAGAAGCACTCACTCTGGCCAGCCCTCGAAGGTTGAGACAGTGAAGAGGGCCATCATGGCAGTCAAGACATTGTCGAAGTCAAACTTGCTGTTCTCCCAGCTCCGGGGCTGGATCATTGGCTGACTGACCTCACCATCCTTGTATGTGATGTAGTATCCTCTGTGGGTGGAAAGGAGAAAGAGAACATGGCAGAACTGCACTTCTGGTACCTGACCCTGAGAGCAGGTGGCAAGTGAAAGTGGCTAAGTGGGAAAGGTCAGACTCACCTGCATTCTGCTTCAGTCTGCTTGGAGCTGTCAGTGCAGCTGTAGAGTTTGCCCTTGAAGAAGAAGAAAGAGGAATGAAGCTTCCCTTCCTAACAGTGGAAGGGATAGGGTTGATCATATACCAGGGAGGCTTGCTTAACTGCTATGGGTATGTTTACATGCTCTTTTACAGGCAGATGTGAATGAACTAAACCAAGAGTTGCCTTTGTCTGGGTACCTCAGAGCACAGACTTTCATTGGCTTGCACAGTGCTCTTTGTGTATCCTGAGGTACATGTGCACTAAGTGCTGCTGAACACTGATTGTCAGAAGGGTGGTGAAGGGCAAAGAAATAAAAGTAGACCTAAAGAACAGAATAAGTAATCTCCAGTGATTACCACTGGATGCATGCCCACTCTTCTGTAAAATGTAATGTAGACAGCCTGCAATTACCAGTCCTTTAGAAAAGCCCCTTTCACCTCTGTCACTAAGTCATGCCACAAGCAATTTGGAGAATAGGGTTACTGATGATTTCTTAAATTACAGATGAGTTGCAACAGTTCTGAATTTGATCGATCCAGTTTTAGTAACTCCTGGTAGTAGGAGACCAAGTAATACTGACAGTGCCCCACATTCTATCTCACATGGAAAGATTCCATCTCCCCCTCCTCAGGGTTTTTCATGATATTTTTCTTCCCACCCGAGAAAACAGCTCAGTGCAATGGACGAATGAATGGGTCAAATAGTTTTACCTTAAACAACTGAACTCCAATGCAGGCAAACATGAACTGCAGCAAAGTGGTGACAATCACAATGTTTCCGATGGTTCGGATGGCAACAAACACACACTGGACTACATGCTGCAAATGGAAGATAGGAACAAAAGTAACTTGTAGGACTGTTCTGAGTTGCTATGGTTACAAATGAAGCCCAAGACTGTAACAACAAATACAAGAATTTCATTTAGCCACTGCCCACTAAGTAATGTCTCAGGAAAAGGGAGAGAAAACCAGTGTGTAACTTTTATCACCGTACTCCTCAAAGCAGACAGAAAGAGTCAGGAAAATACCAGAGCTCAACTCTATGAAATGTCTGGCAGCACAACCTTACATAGTTGGGCACTCACCAGCCCACATGAAGAAATTTAACTAATAGAGCAAGGCTTGTGAGCCCATCTGCAACCCTATAGAAAATGACATAATTTAACATTAGTGGTGATGCTTAAACACTATTTGAAATGTCACAAAAGTCCTTGTAGCCTGAAATAACTTGAATAGATAATTTGCAGAAGACATTGGGATTCTTCTAACCTTTAGTCCTTTGGCTCTGTTGATGGCCCTCAGTGGTCTAAGCACTCGCAGAACACGCAAAATCTTCACCACATTGATGGCACTGGATCTGTAAGAAAGTATTGGGAAGTTTGAGAGAGACAAAAATATAGTGAGTTTGCTGCAAGGACTGATAGATCTCACCCACTTTCTTGTTTGAAATCCTACATAGCCTTAGACAGGTTGGACAACTATGGTCAATTATTTGCTACTTGCTGTGGCACCTCAGGGGTAAGAAAATCATTCTTGCATCACCTTCATAGGTCTTGCTTCCTGATCTGGGCAGCCTTAGTATACATTCTCCTGACTTTCACCAGCTATGCTATGTTAATGAAAGGAATGGAATATGGACAGGGATTCTTTAATAAGCAGAGCAAATTGCAAAATACTCTGCAGCTATCTAATGGAAACTGTGCCAAGATGTAAGCACTGCAAGACATTTTCAGGTAAGTCTTAAATAAGCATTCTGCTGAAATATTCATAGAAGAATGGACAGCCTAGACAACTTGGGCAATAAAGTACACTGCCCAGGTAAGGTGTGATCCTTTCTACGTGTTTGGCCTCTGATTCTGCAAAGCAAATAAATGTGTATGTAACTTTATGGATGTGGAAACTCACTGAACAGGATGACCTGTATGCTTAATTTTAAGTGCAGAACACAACTACCTACTACAACTACAGAGCTCTTAATCTTCCTTGTCTAAAACCCTGACTGAAGATCTTCTCCATGCTGGAGGATGTCAGGTTCTTCTAATTTTGAGAACAGTTTTTTTTTGCAAACACATGAATAGTCTAGTTAGAGCTGTAGGATCAAAACAGGATGTCAAAATGTCCTCTGAGCTGTTATTAAGACTTCTACTGAAAGCCCAATGGTCCTGAAAAATCTTTCTGCTTGACTTATTGAGCTCTTAAACATATCATACATGAGCTGCTAACCTGTGATGAGAACAACAGGGACCTGCTTTTTTATTAACCATGCTATTACTTAGGAAACTTTCAATCCAACACAAACAGTTCCACATATTCAAGTGAATCTGTAAATTATTAAGAAAATTAGCAGATCACAATAAAAAGTGTATTCACATAAGTGGATTCATCTGCCACTGCCACCAGTACTCCACACATTCTTGCACAGCTCTTAAATCACTTGATGGTCTTTCATTGACCAAGACTCACAGCATACTAGGAAGTAGCAAAACACTATCACCCTACATTCTATAAAGAAATAATGAGATGGAACAGTATGTCACTTAACTGCCCTGATCTGACAAAGTGACTCATACATCTTGGAACAAAGCTGAGTGTTGTAATTCCCGATGGACCAAATTTCTTGTTCTCATTTGATCTTTCAAGAAGATCCTCTATCCAGATCATTGGTATAGCATTTCCCAGCCATTAGAACCCCTCCTGAGAATGAGTTTTTATGCCTCTTGAATCAAGTGTCTTGAGGCTCATGAAAACAATCTTACCCGGATGAAATGATGAGATTGAAGTACCATTTCCCAACCCTGCCCTAAAAAAACAACCAGTTGAAAATAGCTCACTCACTGGATTCCGAAAGAGATGAGAGAAACGCTGACCACCAGCAGGTCTAAGATGTTGAAATAGTTTCTGCAGAAGGAGCCCTTATGGAGGAAAGCCCCGTATGCAGTCATCTGCAGGAAGGCACATGAAGACACAAACACACTTTGCCATTAGCATCTGTACAGAAACCAAACCCATCTGGTTGAGCTCACAGTATATATTTGGGCAGGAGTGGCATTTCTAACATAGCAGACTATCTACCCACAGCCCCAAAGGAGAATTTGAGTCCCCATGGAAAGAAGAGAGAGGAAGATGACAGTAAAATAACTATGAAAGACCTAAATAGGGAAAGCCAATACTAGGTTTAGTGAGGAAAATATGCACTTTGAGTGCATAGAGTACATAAAATTTAGTCAGTAAAGCAGTAAAATAATTGTTTGCAAAAACTACTCCTTGCATTTATATGAGCTTCCCTTTTTCTTCAGAGGCAGAGGACACTTGTGAGTATTACGCTAAGTATTATCTAAAGGCATCTTTAGCTGAACTGAATAAAAAGCATGAAATAGAAAGGGCTCTTTTGTGGTGCTTTTTAATGCACAGCTGCAGTGGACACTTGAGCTCTCTTCCTTCTGTGAAAAAATAAAAATAAAAAAAATAGAATTCCTAAGGGATTTAACTGCTTTAGAGCTGAAGCAAAGCATTAGGCAGAATTTCTGTTCTCTTCAGTTTGCTCCTTCTGTTCAGTTCAATCCTACACCTTTTTTCTTACCACCACCAAGTTTCTTTCATTTTTTATTTTACAAGAAGTTGCATTTTCTCCTTGGTTTTCCTAACAAAACCCAAAGTAATGTTCCTTGACATAGAGAAGTTTGCTCATGGAGGAAGTCATTATGAGCATCATTCAGTTGAGGAAGGGAAAGATTTTAATTATTTTACCTGGACTCTCTACCCTTTCTGGGCACAAAGGGGTATTGAACACTTGCTGGTGCCAAGGAGGATGTCTCAGCTCCAGAACTGGATTAAGTGACAGAAATGTTAATGTTATAAATAGAAATGGGTCTCAGCCACAGTGTCAGATCTAAACACTTCTGAGCTCACAAAAGTAAAGGCCTTAACTTTAAATTTTAGAATGAGCTCAGTTTTAGAATGTGACTAGATGAGTCTGACATGGTGAAAGAGGGCGAGGGTTTATTTTACCACCTACCTTAGCTTTGGTGAATGATGTAAACTAGTTCCTTTGAAGATACCCCATTCCCACAACTGCTAATCTCATTACCTGGGCTAGGAACATGGGCTTCTAAATTTAGTCCTCTGATTCTCATCTAAGTTAGATGTCTATAGTAACTTGAAACAGACACCATGAGACTGTTCCCCAAATATTGGACTGTTCCAACTGAGAAGTATGAACTAGAAATTCAACCTGGGTTTTTCTGGCTCCTGTCAATAGCTCACGATGGTGCAGCCTCTATCGATTTCCAGACATGCCTACCTGTGACAATTGCAGTCAGAGGAGAGTGGAAAGGCACATGGTATATCAGATTATTTTCTTCACCAAACATTCATGACATCAGGGAACCAGCTATCAATCAATCAGACAGAACTGAGAGGGGAGGAAGTATAAACTCTTGGCTTGGCTTAGAATTTATACTTATAACAACATATTTGATTGGGAAAGGGGTGAGGGGGTTCTTGCCATAACAAAGGAGGTAAAGGTGCCCTTTACTGGTCAGATTTTGTATGGCAATCTTGAAAGAAAGGAGACACCATTGAAATCAGGAGGGGAAGCTCTGCTGAATTTATGTTATATACAAACTGTGGTTCTCTCAAACTTGTGGAGAGAATTTTTTTTTTACTGAAGAGACACTCAAAGAGTGCATAAATTATGTCTGCCTCCCACTTGGGGCACTGAACAAAGCTCAGGATGCCATGTAAAGCCAAACAATAACTAACTTCAAAACACTGCAAAGTTGTTCACCTTGCTAACATTCATCAGACTCCATCATGGCAATGTGAGTCTTGCGGATACTGCCATCAACATGAGGTCAGATAAAGCTTGTTTCTTCACGGCCTTGATAATCACATAGTCATTTACTCTTTTGCTTCTAATTATTTACTCCAGCTTTTCTGTTGTGCAAAAGATTTTGCTTAACACAAGGCAGCAGAGAAACAGGCCCTGAGAAACCAAGGAAATTGTGAAGCAGAAACTACAGGATAAGGACAGAAGAATTTCTTAAATGTTGGTAGTATTTGCATCTCTCTCCCACTTAGGCCTGGAGGAAGTCCAGAGATGCTGAGCTAAATCTTCTCACGTTAACAGGAGGACATCGAGGAGGTAATAAATAGGTACTATGCAGTACACTTCCCTGATGAAAACAGAGCAATATGCCAATGAATTAAGGTCTTTTATGCTTTCTCTGAAATCATTAGGAGCATTACCATTTGCTTCAGTGGTCGCAGAATTGCTGCTGTAATTTCAAACAGGCGGGATGGTGCCCTGATGTAGAAAGCCAAGCATTGAACTATAATTTTTAAGTGTTGCTGTTGAGATGTTTTCCTTTTTTGACAAGCCTTTAGGTGTGTGCACGTTCACATTTATTGTGCAAACACGGATGCACATGCCACAACAGCATATTATGTATACCTCTTTGAAGGATATTATGGTTTTGGTGATTTAAAGTCGTATCAAAAGCACGGCTCTCTACAAAAATATGCACAGGCCGCCCTACTTGCCAGCCTCCAGATTAGATACTGTTATTAGGGTCTTCAGCTGCAAGATCTGAGCAACTTGAGGTTGCTGCCTGCCAGTACTTAGCACCAGCTTGCTGAGAAAAAAAAAAACAAGCTTCCAAGCAAACCTAGCATTTAGAAAGCCAGAACTTTGCTCAATTATTGTTATTTAAATTATTAGCCTACAAATTTGGGATAATTAGAGTTAAGAACAAGGCAGCCTATTTTTATTTTCTTCTGAGCTAAAACATTCTGCTGCACATTTCCTTTGGTAGAGGGCACATTTCCTGGGAAATACGAAGCCAGTTTTAAGAGGTACTGCAGCAGTTTATATTTGCAGCCACAGTCCTTTGTGCTTCAGTGTTTTATATTCTTGGTTATTTCTCCATACCTGAAAAAATTAGCTTATGCACTGTGTTCAGTGGTAGCATCACTGCCTGGCTCCTATATTTGCACCCTGTAACCTTACACAGAAGTCATTGGCTGCTCTCTGGCCCAACCTCATGACCTGTGCAGAACTGAGACTTTCTCTTTGAGCTGTAGGACGAATCAGAGGAGTATGAGCTCAGGGTTCTTTGTACAGCAAATAAATTCAGTTTTGGAAAAACTGGCCAGGGCAGTGAGAGCATTTTCTGGGGTGATGGCCTTTTTCTTGGTCCTCTCCTACTTGTCATCCTGTCATTGCATTTCCCCTAAAAAGCACTATGTTGATACAGGCCTTATTTTACAAGTTCACATAAGATTTTTAAGCAACTATCAAAAGCATAAAACCAAAAGATAAGCAATCTTTTGTGCTGAGAGTTAAAGGAGTTAAGGAGAAAAAAAAAAAAGGAGTGCAACAGAGAGCAAGAGAAGGCAAAAGAGAAAGAAAGAAAAAGAAAGGAATAAAGGAAGAAAGGTAGAAAGAAAGGTAGAAAGAAAGGTAGAAAGGTAGAAAGAAAGAAAGAAAGAAAGAAAGAAAGAAAGAAAGAGAGAGAGAGAGAGAGAGAGAGAGAGGAGATAGAAGTAGAAAATGAATTTATTGCTCAGATTGGTTACCTTAAGAATAATTTCTAATGTAAAGATACTAGTGAAGACATAGTCTGCATTGCCTAGGATCTGAAAAATAAGCACAATTGGGTTAGTTGTACTGAGCGTGACCCAGGAACAAACAGGCGTGTGTGTTAGCAACAGATAGTGGCAGAAAACTAGTAAGCTTGTGAACAGGTAATGGTAGAGAAGATGGGCACTTTACCTTCAGAGCAATTTCAATGGTGAAAATGACAGTAAAAACTATATCAAAATAAAAGAGAACCTGAAAAAACAAAAGGGAATAGGAGTGGGGAAGGTAGATCAGTGACTGGCCACTGGAATGGGAAATCACAGTTCAAAAGCAAATACACAAGTCTCTTAACAAGGGGAAAAGGAGGACTATATGGGGAATGGTTTTGTAATGACGTCCTGTAGAGTGTAGTGAAGGTCCTGACACATAGGACAAGCAGCACATTACATGAGATATTTTCTAAGTTACAATCCCAGGAGGGCTCTGGAGGGAAAACAAGCTTTTGGTTGTTTTTATTGCAGGATTTTCTTTCTTTATTGGTTATTTAGTGATCTATTTATTGATTGTGATAAAGAGCAGACAGTGTAAGGGTTTTTATTAAATAGATTTCCAAACTGAGAACATGAAGACTTCTGGTCTCTCAGTGGAAAACTTGAGATTCCTAACTTGAATTCAGGCCTGTTTTGTGTTTCTCAAAAAGGTGAAAAAAAGGTATCCAGACTGCAAATTGATGCACAAGCTCTCTTTTTTCTTTTTCCTCTACCCTGGGTTAGGGTGAAATAGAAATGCTTTGCCAATTGAACTGAATCACTGTGACAATAATTTAGCCATGCATCAAATGTGCCCAACTTATATCTTCTATCTTTCCATTGACGTTCTGTAAAACAGGCAAGCTAAAACACCCATCATTTCCATCAATTTAGATCCAGTGGTGGGCATAGCAGTGGCATGCATAGCAAACCACAAGAAGGGGCCCTGTCACAGAAGGCAGCAGCAAGTCTGGAAGGGTTAAATGATTTGCAGAGTAACAGCATCAAGGATGCAGATGTCTTTCATTGCCCATTGATCTACATCTCACAAAGGTAAATGGGAACTCCTTTACTGACTAGTGGGACCAGAACTGAGATCTCTTTGCTTCCAATGAATTCCAATACCAACCATTTTGGTGTTACATACACTGGAAAAAGTAAAAATTACAAATTCTGTGCCCATGGATAAGTGTTGTTTTAGCTTAATCAAGTTCTAAACATGAAGGCCACTATACGGAAGCAGTAGAAACCTGATTATTTTTCAAACTGAAGCCTCTACTGCTAAAACATTAACAAACATACTGAAGTAGACTTACCCTTCTTACAGGTCTTAATTCTATCTAGGTGATTTTGCTCTAACTCAGGTGGATAAATTCTTACAGCTTGGTACATCCTGGGCAATGAAGCAACTACTGCAAACTAGAGGGTTACTTTAGATCGTACTGTTAAAGCATGATCCCAATCTAGACTAATTTACAGATAATGAAGGTCAAATAGGGACACGTATAACCTACTGTTGGTTTGTAACCCAAAAACCCTCTGGTCTCTACAGGATTTTTGACCCCAAGACTAATGCAGAAGTTGTTCTGACCTCTTCAGTTCTGGCTTAGGCTTCATAATTTTTTGCAACTTAGAGAATTAAAAAAAGGGCCATTTCAAGGATGGATGGACATCAGTTGCATTGTATATTAATTTCCACACATTACAGCTGGAAATGTCCCCTCATGTTGCTGCCATATAGGTCCTGACATCTGGTTATTGTATCAGTGGAATAATTTTATAATCAATGTGCTGGATTCATGGGTACTCTAAGGCTGGTTTGCATGACTCCACCGACATAAAGTGGCCATAAACTTGATTAAAGTGGATGATTATGCTGGGCCTGCAGCTGCTTTACATCACCAGAACACTGCAAAGCAGCTAGGACATATTGGTGAACCTGCATCCAGAGCTGCACCTCGTGAAGACATTCCATACAGATGAAAAATCTCACCTGTGTAACTGGTACTATTTACCAGCAGGCACACCTATTCTTCCCTAAATACATATTTAATCCAGAATATATTAAAAGCAAAACAAAAAAACCAGAGAGACTATTGTAACTTAACATTTTAGGTCTTGCATGGGATTTGAAGAGTGTTTGACCAGACTGGAGAGACACTTGCACAGACTTGCTGCCTGAGCCCTGTGTGACACAGGAGAGATGCAGCCACTAGCTCACCCCAGGGGAGATGCAGTACCCAGGCCTCTTTGTTAGCCCTTGCTGGAGGAGCTGCTCTCTATCCCTTCCAGCTCTGGGACAGTTTGTGTCAACAAGAGCACTGGTCTGCAAGAGTCACAGTGAATGCCTGCTTATGTTGTTCCACAGTGAGGGCAGGGTAGGTTGTTTGCTTTCAGCTTGCTTTATTTCCCTCACAGGCACAGAGCAGACACGATCTTACTCTACTACTGCCAAACAATAAAGGCAGACCACTTTTGCAACCCAAACATCTTGTCAGTGTCCCCTGGCATGACACATTTTAAACACCCGTACCTGCAAAAATTAAACACAGAATTTCATGCAAAATCAATGAGTTCAAATACACAACATAACACTTTGCACTAAAACTTCAGCTTTTTTATTTACTACTTTTTTCTTATTTAAATCTCTGCTATGGATTCTGCATCTGCTTCTGTCAGAATCCAATATGCCAGCTGATACCATTCTGCAGGACTGATACCAACTGATGTACTTGCAGTCCTACATGGTGGGCACACTCACCCATGTAGAAGCAGATTGTTACTGTTACATGTTGGGCTGTTATTTTGTAGCCTCCTTCAGGAGGAAATGCAAAGCAACTCTGAGATAAATTCAGAAATAAACTTCCATTAATACCTTCTCTGCATGCATCTGTACATTTAAATGTGTGCTCAGGCCAGGATAGTTCTGGGAAGTAGAACACTGAGCATTAAAATAAGGTCTTATTATTAAAAAAAGGAAAAAAAAATTGTTTATGTCTAGCAAGCTCTTCCAGCCACCAAATTGCCACTGCAGACAGCAGAGATCAGAAGTCTCACATATAGTTGCTGACACTTCTCATTTCTGTAGTGATCCCAGATTAATGGAAACTACCACTGGCAAAGCTAAGCACTGGGCATTTCAAAAGGCTAATAAGAATGGCCAAGAAGGAAATTGAGAATATATCTCTGTGCTGAATGCCTTCCTCTTCTTCCCCTAGCTTGGCCAGGAGAGGAGCATGGCATATTTTCTGAGGATTATCTCAAATTCAGTGATGGCTTTGCAGCTTGCACTGAACCAGCCTGATTCTAACTTAAAAGACACCAATTTCCCCCAGAGTGATGGTGTCAAACTCAAGAATTGTACTTCTGATTTACACCAGTGTGAGCAAAGGCCCTGCACTTTTTAGTTCAAAAAAATAATGTGTTGGGAGAACAAATATTTCAAAGGGAACTTGCACATCTCCCAACACAGAATTCTCTGGACCTCAATTTTCTCCAGCCCATTTTTAAAGCCTTTAATTCCAGTGAGCAATAATTTTGCTTCAGCTGTCTATCATTTCTTTTCCTACAGACACTTCCAAAATTAACTCGAGGCCAAATTCAGCTCTGATTCATTTTCCCTGTATGTTCACACACAGTGTACTAAAGGCATAAACCAGAGTAGCGAGCCACTACCAACACCTCTGATGCGGTCTTTTCTGTGTTTCTTGACTTCACCTCATGAGCTGCTTGTGCTACACTTTTAATACACAGCAAGGGAAGGAGTGTGATAAGCATACTTGATTCCTAAAGGAGAGGTGTCGGACGGGGTCCTCAGCTGCCAAGGAGATGCTGCTGAGCAAGATGAAAAATAGGATCAGGTTGGTGAAAATGTTATCGTTAACGATTCGATGGCAGTGGACACGAAACCTGAAAGAGAGAGGAGAGGCACAACTTTATCTCTCAGAGAACAGGAAGACCTGGGAAACATTCCCCTCTCCTCTTTAGCTGTCAAGACTGGCCCTGAGGGATTGCTCTGCATAGCAGCTTCACTCTACCCTGGCAGAGAATAGCATCCCAGGCAGTTGTGCTTTGCCCTGCTGAGTGTTCAGCAGCCTCAGCTCTCCATATAATGCAGTGATGCACACAGGGGTAACTGGCTGCCTGCAGGAGTCAGGCTTGGTTCTCCATTTAAATATGGTCTACAGACTGCCAACCCAAAATTAAATCCTTTCCATTCATAGAAATGTCCCCCATTTTTATAGGGGGTAAGCAGTAGAAATGGGTTTGGGGATGAACAATCTCATTCTGAGATGGGGCTAGACAGTCACAGGTATGAGGCATGAGAAATCTACCTGTTAGCAGGGCACAAATCTGGCAAATTGGCTATAGCCCAGGCAGTCATTTGCAAAGGGCTTCTGGGAGGTTATCATGCCATACACAGCATCTACTAAAGCTCAGCCTAATATGAAGTGCTGGTGTTCTTAGTGTGAAAACGGCCTGTAAGCAGTAGCAGTCTCCCATACAGAGTAGAAGGCTTACTTGATGCTAATAGAGCACCTTTCACACAATTATATCAGGATATGAGGAGTTAAACCTCATAACAGTCCTATGCATAATTCTAGAGGCACTTCATTAATCTATTTAGCTCTACTTTTGGCTGTTGAGCTGCCAAGCCCCTATTATAGCAATTTTACAGATGATTGCAGAGGTTAATTTACTTTTTCAACAAGCAACAGTGGGGGTGGGTGGCAAAGCCAATATTAGAGTCCACAAGTCCCAGTCATCATCAGTCTCTCTCTGTTGCTCATACCAAGGAGAAGTGGCATAAGCCCTGCTGTGGGAAGATAAACTCTGAATTCTTTTGGGCCTTCACAGTCCTGCCTTCCTCTAAGACTGTGTTTGGTGGCAAAGTCTCCAAGGGAAATGTTGGGATACATGGCACTGAACAGACCACCTGATCAGTGAGCTCTTTCCTGCACCCTTAGAAAGATATATTCTCATGCCATAGTTCAGCCCTCTACTCATGGTACTGGTTTCATACACTGGCATTGGAAAGAGAACTGGAGTAATGCGAAGCCAGGCTGCCTGAAGGAGACTGGAAGAAGAGGGTGAAGAATAATTCTCCTCAGGCTCCCCTCAGAACAATGGGAATTGTTGTCCTCTTTGTTTCCTTCCTTGCATGCTCATTCTTGGTGAGTGGGAATATGCAGAAATGCAAAAACTCCCTACTGGGAGTGAATTTTGAGCAGCTATTAGGACAAGAAGCTCCTACCTCATGTTTGATTGCATGAGGTTTGCTTACAATCTGCTTAAAACCTGAATTTGTTGGGGAGTTCCAATTACTGGATTCCCTCTGAATCCCTTATTTCCAAAGCTTTTATCATTTGTGTCCTCAATTAGACTTGCAGGTGCTCTGTACTCCCACTGCATATCGTCAGTAGGCTTTCTACATTTGTGCTTACATGGAGATTTTATGCCAGAAATCTCTTCTTGTTACAGCTGAGCAGCATCTTACATACCTGTTGTTAGGACTGAAGATGAAAAATGCGCTGGCATCAGGCATGGGCACAGCCTTTTCCTTGAGGTGCAGCTCAGACATTGGGCGAGGCCGAGGGCCGACAGGCATCTCAGGTTCTTCCTCATCTTCCTCTGCTGCAATAAATATTTTTATTTCACACAAAATGTTTTATTTTATGCAAAATGACCCCTCATGGAGTGGTGGGACATTTGTTTCTATTGAAATAAAAGTTACTAAACTAGAAGCATAAAAATAGGATGATGAAAACCTGTGGATTATTGTCCATTTCCCTCTTCTGAGGCACCAACCTCTGCCTTGGACTTATCCCAGCAGAGATTGATCAAGACTGTCTGTAGAACCATCAGTGCTGGTAAGTCCACAATATCCTCACAACAGTCTCTTCAAATGCTTCACTGTCCTTTCTGCAAAATACTTCCCCCTAGTGACTATCTATAGGCTTCCTTGCTGTGGTCTAAATCCAATGCTTATTTTCTTATTGTCCATGGGTGCAGAAAAGAGAGAATTCCCTTCCTCTTGCAGAAGGATTTAACATACTTGTTTCTGCCAGGCTTTCTTTTTCTTAGATAAAGACAACAATCTTTCCTGAGATGCTGTGTTCTCTAGATCATTCTCACTACTTTCCTTTGGATTTTCAGCAGAACTAACCTGCTGTTGAGGTCCTACCGGTGCAAAGGAGAGTTAATTATTTTTTATATCTTATAATGCCATTTTGCTGTTTAAATACTTTTTGTAGGCACTTATTTTCATCACATTCTTGTGTTAATTTGCCACCAGTTTTTGGTTTCCGTGAACCATTGACTCTTCACAATATAATATTTGTTCTGCCCTTCAGTCCCTTTTGCATTTATGCTGCTGCTGATTCCCATGAGTGGCACTTTGACCTCATCCTTACTGAACTGCACCTTCTTGTCTTCAGACTATTCCTCCAGTTTATCAGCATTTTTTGTAATCCTCTTTGCAAGCTCTCCATGGAGCCATCGCCACACCCAGGCTTGTGTTTGGATGAATGCATGTATGCCATAAAGCAAACATGGAGCACAGGTAATTTAACATATACCTATCAGAAATCCTTAAAACTACCTTCTTTCAATATTCAGTGGTGAGAAGAATAAAAGGGCAGGTGACAAATCTGAGCCTCTTGAACCTGATGCCTATGGAGCAGAACTCCAGGCCCTGTACAGACACTCAAGGAAGAAACTGTAGAGATGGGAACTCAGTAGAATGTGAAAGACAGCCTTCCACCTTTGAGGATTTTTTCTACGTGCTGAAGTCAGAAGCTTTTTTGTAAATGACACAACGGGATTTTGCTATTTTAAAGTTCACAATCCTCTCACCTAATTAGCAAGACAGGAAGAAATATTTCAAGAAGGGATCCTGACAACTGATTTATCTTCCAGTCAATGCAAAAGAGGAAACTGTAGATAAAGGGTTTATCCTAACTCCATAAAGTGAGATAAATTCTAGGAAAAGCCTGTTCCTTCAGGGCCAGGTATGGCACTTCATCTGGTAATGGACATATTAAGAAGAATAGGTGAATCAGTACAGATCCTAATTTAGATGTCAGAGATGGGAGAAAAGTGGCCTTTTCAATGCATGCTTTTATTGCATGCAAATAGGATTCTTTCTTTACATTTCTAGTAGCAAGAGTTTGGCTCAAGTTCACTTGATAGATTTTTGGATATGTTTGATCTGGTACACAGTCTGCACTTTTTAATCTGGTCTATTTTTTAACAGCTCAATTTTATGTCGTAACACACTTAACAATACCCATTCTACAGGTTTTATTCCTTTTGAAGTACTTTTGTGAATAGTACTCGAAAAAAATTGTGCTAATATTCATATTTATATAATATTACAATACTTTACACTTGCACCTTTTATCTACAGATGTCAAAGTGGATTGACAAGGAGTGGGGTAAGCAAATTCTTTCTTCTTTAACAGTCTGGAATACCAATGCCCATAATCATGTAGGATGTTTGAGAGCTCTCGCTTGAAAGACTATTATTCTGAGCCTCAGTTCTGTGCCATCAATATTAGATCTTTTTTTTGTTTTCTTTTTCTTGAAGCAAGATTTACTTAAAGTGTTTAATTTTTTTTTTCCTAATAGGTATAGGAGAATGCCTCTGGAAAATAGACTCTTAGCAGAAGGACCAGCCCCCCTAAATGAAGATTATGAGGAAGACTGTTTCTCTCCTCTTTCTCTTGTGTCTGCCATAAAGCAAGAAATATATTAATGACTTTGGCAACCACATAGCTGCAGACTGAAAAACACATTGAGTTCCTCAGTTATGGAGAAAGAATAATGTTTGAAATGTTTTTCACTTAAAGTAGGGTCTAGGGCACATAAGAAAGGAAAAAACAGGAGTTATATACAAAAAGTATAATATTATTACAGCATCAGCTCAGGTTGCTGTGTAAGCTAATTACCAGTATAAAGAAACCAGTATATTGCACAGGTGTCAGCATTCATACAAGCAAAGGTCAACACGGTATTTACAAGCTGGCTGGGAGACATGGCAGCTGCAATCCCACACTTGTTCTTTGACCATTTTCTATACCTAAGGTATACCACTGTTTAAAAAGTGACTTTTGCATTCAAGCCTGCCATGAAATCATGAAGAAGCAAGACTCAGAGTTACCAAGTTGAGATCTAGTTTAGAACTCTTCTGAAATTCAAGAAAACTCAAAACTTGGACTGTCATCTTGAGTTATACTTCATGAGAACAGTTGCATCCTTTGGTTGTGAAGGACACACACAGGCTACAGTGCAGAATCAGTGACAGATTCAATGGAAAGGCTTTTTTTCTTTACTCTATACAAAGACCAGAGCTGTCGTGTAAGGACACTGCTTTGCTTCAAGCTTCCATAAATCACCTCAAGCCTTCATCTGACCCTCATCTGGTGTTCTGAATTCTTTGTCTGTTTCTGTACCAGACCGCAGGACTTGCTCCCTGTCTTCCTATAATAAACATGTCAGCATAATAATCCCTCTAGTGTACACAAATCTCTGGAAAGAATAGTCTCTCCCTCCAACTAAGTGGCTAGGTGAACTGATGAGTTGCAAATACACAGTGTATTCTGGGGACTAAGAGCAATACTGTGCAGCAAAAACATTCAGAAGAAGTTATTGAGAAAATTTTAGTTGAGGCAACAGAAACTAATAGGAAATGGAGTGGGATAGATTCAAATAATAAAGGAAAAACTGAGTTGGTGAAGGATGTTTTCCCAGGAGGGCTGCATTTAGCTGCACAGTGCCTTCTGTAGCACGGCAATCACCAGAAGGATTTTGGGCTGATCTGATGATCAGAAAGGAACTGATGAAGGGACAGTGGTACACACTTGGGGACTGGGAAATTCTTGCTTGCTAATGCTGTTGAGTTCCTTGGAGTTTTGTTCCCCAGACCTGCTTACATGAGACAGATGTGAAATGCTGCTTCTGCTCCAAGAGGGTACTGGTGCTTCTGAGCTTTGTACTGAAAGACAGAAGACAACCTAGCATACATCTGCATGCCACTCCAAGGATTGGCATCCCGAAGCAGGAGTTTAAAAGTGTTTTTGCTTTATTTCCTGACCTCTAATCCTACAGATAGAAAATCCATAACAAATTGTAGATTTGTTTTTTGTCAAACATTCCATTTGTGAGCCTATTTCTAAATTTTCTATGGAAGGTAATTGAAATATAATTCTATTATTAGTAGGCTTAAATTTCTTATGCAGGTATGTGCATCTTTACTTTAAAAAATATAACAGTCTACAAATTCTGGCTAGTTGAGAAACAGAAACAGAATTGTTTCAGGCTGTTTAAATTTGTTCTTGTAACTGAAGATTCCTTAAAACAGATTAGTAACTGTGAATGGGTGTGCAGTGAATGCCCTGTGTCTACAGAGGTGCTTGGAAGGTTAAATCCAGAGTGATCTGCTCTAAAAAATATCAAAAGTGAACTGCATTTTATGGTGTTGGAAACACCTGATTAACAGGCTACGAATATGGATAAATATGAGTACGGCAAGCTCACAGATTTTTTTTTGTTCTGAAAATCAAATGCAATGAACAGTTTTACTTTCTGATTGTCTGAACCTCTCATTCATCTACTTAAAGTGAACTATTCTGCCTTTTTTTTTACCCTATCACATTAACCTATTAACACACATTTTTTTAGGAATGATAGAATAGAAAAGAATGTAATTTATTACCTATTATAATCTGTTATATAATCAGAAGTGAAGAAGGGAAGAACAAGAAGAGATCACACATGGCCAAATGTCTGCCAAGCTAGAATCAACTAATTATTATATCTAAGTCTTTTCTGGCAGATATTTCTCTAACCTGTTCTTAGCCATATTTGGTGATGCTAGGTTTCCACAACCTTCTTCACAATCGTTTAGAACTTCGCTACTAGAAAATCTTCCCCTTTTGTGAACCTTAATAGGGTTAATTCCCTTAACCATAACAGATTGAGATTATTTACCTTCTACCTGTAACAACCTTTTATGCATTTGAAACCATTTCCTCTGTCTTCCCTAGCTCAAAAAACCACAGCTCTTTCAGTCTCAGTTCAATTTCTCCTTGCATTGCTTTCACTTTGCCCTTCTAGGTTCTTCCCAATTCAGCTCCACTTCTCTTAACTGCACCCAAAATGAGATTGTATCTCAACGGAGACCTCAATTGCTAAAAGACTAAAAGAGTTGTTTTACTTTGGTTAGCTTTCACTGGCCTGTTAGAAGAAACCTGTAAATGGACTAAAGGGTCATGTTTTCACTGTTTGTAACTACTTGTTTGCCTTTTGACAGGTGGCAAAATGTTATGGGCTTCTGCTGGGCTTGTGATTACAAGATTCAAATTCTTTTCTCAAGGACTGTTACCTAACTACTGTCACCTAAGATCCTTTATTTGTGAGTTGTTTATTCCTGCCGATGTAGAGCGTGGCACTTTCAATTTTATTTAGACCATTTATCCAGTTCCTCAAGAGCTCTTTGAATTCTAATGCTGCCCTTCAGTATGCTTACTGTCCCTCCTAGCTTCATGTCATGTGCAAATGTAATAAGCATATTTCCTTTTCCATCACTCAGGTCATTAACATTGAACTGAACTGAACTCAGGACAGGCCTTTGGGTTGTACAACTTCATTTGGGTGATTGCTACTCTCCACGTACAGAGTCCGACCAATTTATCTCCCAATCATCTAGACCATTTTTTTTCTTTCTAGCTGGCTTATGAGAATGTTTAGAGACATTCAGAACATCAGCAAAGTCAAAGCATATATCTACTTCTTCTCCCGTCTTGTCAGCCCCTCTTAGAAGAAAATGAAAGTGGCTTAACATGATTTGTTCTCTGTAAATCCATGTTCCTGTTAGTCTCCTTATCTTGCAGTGCTGTATTTGTTTAGTTATTTGTTTCAAGACTTTTCCATGAATGGAAGTTGAACTGACCTCTGCTCCACCCCTACCCACCATTTTAAAGACCTAGCCTTCAGGAATTCTCAAAGTAAAACTGCTCTGTGTTCCGAGATTGCTTCATCCAATTCTATATAAAGAATTTGAGGATGAAGTTCATCAGGTCCAAATGATCAATTCTAGGTTGAGTTTACACCTTTAGAATCATATTAATAAAGTTGCACTGACTTTTTTGATTAAAAAATATTCTAAAAGGCATTCAGCACTTTTACCTTCATAAGTATCTGTTGTTGATCTTCCCTGACATAGAATACTGAAAAAATGAACTGAAAATATATATCTAATCATGTAATATGTTCTTTACAGAGAATTATATCAAGTACCACTAACCACTACAGGAACTGCAAAGGAAACATGGGCAAATAAAATGTCGCTAGCAAAGTGAGGAACGGGATTCCCTCTGCTTGCGCTCTTCTGAGACCCCATCTGGCATACTGAATCCAAGCCTGGTGCTCCCAGAACAAGAAAGACATAGAGATGTTGATGCAGGTACAGAGGAAGCCAAGGGGCTGCTCGCAGGACTGGTGCACCTCTCTGATGAACAAAGGCTGAGGGAGCTGGGCTTGTTCAGCTGGAGAAAAGAAGGTGCTGGGGAGACCTTGTAAAAAGCCTTCCATTTTTTAAAGGGAGCCTAAATGTAAGGATGAGGAGGATGAGGGGAAAGACAAGAGGCAATGGTTTTAAACTGAAAGGGAGTAGGATTAAATTAGCTTTAACAAATAAATTCTTCACCCTGGAGGTAATGAGGCACTGGGACAGGCTGTCCAGAGAAGTTGTGGAGGTACGATCTCTGGAAGTGTTCAAGGCCAGGTTGGATGTAGCTTTGGGAAACATGATCTAGTGGAACGTGTTCTGCCCTGTGGAAGGGGGTTTAGAACTGGACAGCCTTTAATGTTCCTTTCAACCCAAGCCCTTCTGTGATTCTACAAATCTAATTGCATCACCTTCTCCCACCATGAAGACATTTCAAGACCAGCTTGCTTGCTATCGTAATTTGGCTATATGTGCACTAGCAACTGGAACTTTTTTTTTTTAGATCAGGAACGAGAGAAAACAGAGAGATACCTGGTCCTTCTGTTGTGGGATATGGGCTCTTTTCTTCATTTTCATTCGGCTGATAGTCATCCATGTTTATCTAACAGAAACAGAAGAAAAAAAGACTCAAACAAAGCAGAGGGTTTTCATTCCCCTCAAAACTCAAGCTGTCCACATCATCTCTGCATAGACTGTTGTGCTAGCAGCAGACCTTTGTAGCAGGTGGCGATTCTCCATCAGCAGTGATTGATTTCAGCTCAATTTTCTCCTCCTTTGTCTCCTCCTCCACAGCTGTTTTCTCTATCTCCTGTTTCTTTTCAGGACTAGCAGTCCTAACAATTTGACAAGATAAAAAGAAAACAGTTACAAAGGTGAAAAGCTGTTTCATGTAGTACAGCACACACTAAGAGAATGATCAGCTGACTGTCACCTCCATTCTGAGTCCAGCTTATATTTCAGCGGCTCCACCTCTTCCTCTTCTACTCTAATTCCATATAGAATCCTTTTACTTCATAGCATTCTCAATGGCTTGTGTTTATATATGTGTATGAGAGTGCACATGGAGAAGTAGGTGACTGCGTTTTTGTGCACGTTCTAGGCATGTGACTAGATATCTTCTCTTTGTTCACTCAATAACAATGGCATGAAGTGTTTTCAAACCCTGTCTTGTGGACTTCCACTAAGTTGCCTACAAAGTTTTGCCGCTCACTGCACTTCCAGAGCCCAAGAGATTCTCCTGAATGGTGTGTAGGACACAGGCAAAAAGATCTGCACAAAGGATTCTCTCCAAGTAGCCCAGAAACAAACTGAGGTAACTGGTTAGGAAAGACTTCTCCATGGTTGCCAACAGGGAATGACAGAGAAGCTCTAAGTCCAGCTCAAGTCTCCTGAGAGTCTGCAGATATACTAATAGAACTAGCCAGAATTTTTCTCCAGTGTATGACATATAAAAAGAAGGAAGTCACTGAATCTTGTGTCTTGGGAATCTGAAATTTTCTCTTGCTCTGTGGTCCAGAGCAATCAGGAGGTAATAGGGATATTCAAACGGTACTGTTACACCAATACCATTTTGTACTCATTAACTACTGATGCCCTGAAATCTCACCAGTCACTCAGCCTTTCTTTCTTCTGTTCACATTATTGCAATTGTGAGATTCCTAACTCCCAACACCTTCTTGTCCTTTAGTTTGAATTAAAATACATATATACATAATTATATATACAATATACAATATAAATTAATCATATTTATGTAATCTATATACACACAGATAATTTAAACATATTACATACTTGCACATACAAATAAGCATAATGTGTTAGGTTCTATATATGGATATATATACAAGTGGATGATTTTGAGGTGGATGCATATGGATTTACCTAGCTAGTTTTTTCCTTTCTTTTTCCTCTTCCTCCTCTTTCTGTGCAGATGTTAAACTCTCCGCATCAGCAAGGTTGTCCACAGCAATGGCCAGAAAGACATTCAGGAGGATGTCTGTGTGCTACTTAAAGAAAACGGGCTTTGAAAACTGCAGAACAACATTATACTGAAGGTGTCTTAATTTAAATTTTTAGCAACCTGTCATCAGATCTCTTGGATTTTCCAAAACTTCCAATTCACACAAATGTTCAGGGTGCACATATTGAGCACAACGAATCTACAACTTCCACCTAAATGTCTAACACACTGTGTAGGGTTTCCAAAATTTCACAATGGAATGACTGATAGAAAAGATGGAAGTCTAGACTTTAACACTTAGATTTCAGTTTTTGGTTTCCATATAGAGTCTTGCTCTATGCAACAAATTCCACTAAAGGTTTCTGCTAAAGGATCCAGGAGCCCTGGATGCCTTTGAAGGTTCAGGTCATTTTTGTTAAAGAACTTTCATATTCAAGATCCTCATACCATTAGGCACCTGAGCTTTCCAATTTTGGCCTACATGCTTGAGTTGGACAACCTCATTAGCCTTTTCCATAGACGTATGTAGGTTTTAAGGACCGTAAGGATATCACTATCATTAGCATTTCTGAGGGGAACAAAAGAAACTCATTTAGTCTGAGTGTTAAAGGATTGGGTTGGCAACTCTGCCATCTCCTAGCAGAGAGCCCACACATGGAAGCTGCAATGTAAACCAGTCATGCACATGTTGCTGAAAGGTAAGTAATGACAATTGCTTTCTTGTCTTGCCAGTCAGTGTTAAGACCTTGTGTTATAAATCTGAACACCAGATTCTTACTGAGATTTCTTTACAGTAGGTCTCATGCCATCAGTTCTCAGTAAACTCCAGTTTAAGGCTTAGTCTGGAAATACAGCCACTCCTCTCCCAAAGCTCCAAGGTCTAACAACACAAAGTCAGCCAGCACATGCAGTTGGCTCACATTTTCCTCTGCAGTTCACAAGGAGATCCAAATTGTAGCTTTTTAAAGCCGTCAGGAAGACAGCATCCCTCGACCTTGAGATAAGTGTAATGGCACTATCTCACTTTGAAGAAAGGGCATGCAGGTCAACAGAAATGTCACATAACAGGGTTTGAGAGACCTGAATTATGAGGAAAGGTTGAAATAGCTGGGCTGAAACTACAAGGTAGCTCCATAGAAGAACTAGTATAAAAAGAAATGTCACCTCTGACACATGAGGGCTATTTATTAAGGAAACAGAAATTAAACATGAACAAATTTGGAGCAAACAGACATGGTACTGAACCATGGCTCTGTGTCCAATGCAAATTCCTATGAAAGGACACTCACAGCCTAATCCTGCAGTGTGCTTTGTGCTGCTGGGTTATGTACTTTGCCCTCACTTCACCTTGAAGCCAGAGAGAACTCAAGTTAATGCCATCTCAGGATAGTAGATAACAGACTACGTGATTTTCTGTTTGAAGATCAAACACATTGCAGTAAGTGAAATGGAACAGGGTTCCTGTTCATTTATATGCGAGTTAATATATGATCTCACATAAATCAATTGTGTCAAACATATGGTACTCCTATTACAAAGTTTGCATCTAGCATATTGTATATTACATATATTTTTATTCCACATAAAGTTTGGATGAAATCAAATGGAACATGTTAATGAAATGGCAATTAAAGTAAAAACACACAGCAGGTAGACAAAGAGATTTGTTTATAAGGAAGGCGGGAAAGAAAGACCTATGAGAAAATTAGGGGGAATAAAAAATAAAAAACCTAAACATGTAAAGGTACTAAATAAAAGTTGGCATGCAGAACCAGTACCTAGTTGGCTCTTACAAATGTTTATATGCCTGAAGGCTTAGCACTAGCTAAGATTAAACAAACTTGTTTAACTTTTGACAGTGCAAAGCCAAAATCTTGAGCTAGGGAAAAGGTGAAGATACAAGGTACAAAATTACTTTTTGACACAGCAAAAGTAATAAGGGGTGACTTTAAATTCAACCCCGTTTGGAGAAAAGAGTAGCATCAAAGGATACAGTTCCCACAGATGAAGAGGATGATGAAGTAAATACAGACCAACATTCCTGGAAAAGAGGGGCCGCCATAAGCCATGATCCCATCATACATCACCGAATTCCAGTCCTCCCCAGTCAGGATCTAAATGACACATTCCCACCAATAAGGGATACAGTGTTAGACCACACAGAGAATTTGAAAACCCCATTAACAGAAAGATATTCACTATCCTAGAGATCATCCCTTCCCCCAAGATGGCTGGAAACTCTGGCTGTATCCATTTAGCAAATTAAAAACAAAATGAGATTATGCAAAAAGGGCACTAGAACTGTTAAAAAAACTGGAGATGTCCCCTTGAAGACTTACTGCTGAACCCGAATGGCTCCACAAGACATCTTTGTTTAAGTCTCCCCACCTCACTTGGCACTTCCCTCCACATCTGTTGTTTCAGACAAGCTGCACAAGTAAAGCACTGAGGACAGCACTCAGCACAGCCCTCCCAGATACATCCCTTCACCTTGTGTGTGAAATCACAATCCCGATGCTCTTGGCTGATTAGTCTCAAAATTGCAGTCAGTTTGAAAGCTATTTAATTTCTCCACTGGTGCAGTGAGCACATACTTGTTCCCTAGTACTGTGGAAGGGGAGAGGACAGCCACAGGGACAGGCTCTGGCTTCCAGGCAAGGCCATGCAACATGGTAATGGCCATTCTCATGTACTACTCTGATAAGCCCTGATGGCTTTGTGATATTTCCCCACTTTGGAAGGGAATACCCCTGTGCTGGCAGCATGGTGCCTTGCTCCTGGAGCTATTAGAATAGCCTCAGAGACTACTAGGCTGTAGAAGAAGGGTGCAGGACCTACTGTCTCTCTCTCCCCATTTAAAGCACAATATCTAGGTCCCATCTGTACCTACTCATGCTCTTACCTGAAACACAGTGAGGAGAGACTGGGGGAAGTTGTCAAATGTACTCCTCCTGGTCTGCATTTCATCAAAGTTAAACTTGCCCCCAAAAAGCTGCATCCCCAGCAGGGAGAAGATGATGATAAAGAGGAAGAGGAGCAGCAGGAGGGAGGCAATGGAACGGACTGAATTCAGGAGTGAAGCCACTAGGTTGCTCAGGGAGTTCCAATATCTGGGAGAGAAAACAAAAGTAGTTAAAATTTCTTCACTTCGAGACAGGTGCTCCTGGCCTGCACAGGATATTGGTTCTGGCTGACTCCTGTGTATAAGCAGGCATTTCTAAATACCCTGTTAAGCAGTGAATCATTTATGTACTTCCCTAAGATAATGAGACCTACTGCAGCTAATGAGTAATTTTACTACCACACGTGTACATTCCCTCCACCCCCACTTGATGCTCACACCCAGAAGATTATTGCAGCACTCTCCATCTAAGTCTCTGAAAATCTTGTATCAATATACAGTGATTAGTTCTTGCCGCTTCAGTGAGTTACATTCTAACCAACCTCATTACAACACTCACAGATGTTATGGCATGCCAGAATACCTCACTCCAGAGAATGGCCTGCAATAAGTGGCAGGAGCAGATGGGGAAACAGTTTGGATACAAATAGAAACTTGTCCAAAATATGGTGTGATTGTGCACTTGGGCTCACAGACAGACAGAGGTTGCATAGCCTTCTGGAGCTGAGAATGAGGAAGATACTCCAGGTCCTTCGCTTCTTTCATATGGACCCTTAAAGGGAGACTCCAGATCTACACCCCTAACGGCCTCAGTTTTCTTTGCTCACTATCACTGCTTTTTAGGGGTACTAAACCCTTTATATTTGCTCAGGTAGGCTGCAGAACACTTTGGAAGGGCTTAGAGCTGGGTTCAAAAGCAGCTGGCCAAGACATTTCCAGGATCCCTAAGACAACAAAGCACCAGCTGATCACAGTAACCAAAATCAACAGATTTTTCTTTTGTTCTCTTGCACTGATGGAAATTTATTGGATACGATTGTGGCGAAGTCCACTTAGATCAGCTACTGAGAAAAGGACAAATGACCTATGACCAGGCAATTGAGACTCCTGCTTTTTGAGCAGCTACCATTGGATAGGGAGGATGGCTAAGATCTTCTCTCAGTGTATTCAGGTTTATGCCCAGATCTGACTGATGTACGATGCAGAAGACAATCTTCTAGCCCCTTTGGTCCCATTTAAGGATTCAAAGTAATGCAAGTAGCATGCTCTACTCTAACATATCAGCTTGCTTGCTTACCTTTGCCAACCAGCAGTGTAGCCATGTGTTGGAAAAATGCTACATTTTTGTGAAGAATTGACCACATTGCCAATGAAACAACTTTCACTTCAGCCTGGTATGTGCTCAAACATTTTTATCCTACTGCTTAGAATGTCATGAACATTTTTACTGTATGTACTTTTGAGTTTGACAAATATTTCAGACTAGATTTAAGATTAGCTGACATCTTCCAGTCACCTCATTTTGAATACAACCTTGGGTGGCTTGCACAGGCCAGCAAGCCAGTAATGTTTATGATCTGTAAGTTGCTAAGTCTTTCTTCTAGCATCATCTCCTGTGGCCTTCTACCATGATCTGAGATCACAACATGATTGGCATCCTCCACTCCCTTCTCCCAAAGCTTTTAACCGTGAACCCTTTTCTCCTTAGAAGACCCTGAAGTTCTAGGTGTATTTTCCTTGGAGAAGGAAGCTCTATTATAGAAGGATGTCAGACATGTCAAGCATTCTCACTTGTTGGAGGAGGTCGGATAATTCTACATACAAATCCATCTTTTCTTAAGTCAATGTAATCATTAGAGACAGGGATTCTTAAAATCGTACTGAAATGAATATTTTCAAATGCCAGGGTAAAAAGAAGGCTTTTGTTGTCCCATGGCAGACAAATATTCAGGTGGCCCAATTACTTTGCAAGGGTTAGCAATCTGACCTGCAGAGGGACTGCCAAGTCCTCTGAAGTTCAGCAATTAGTTCATCTCCAAGCACTGAGCTTCAAAGAGAACTGTGATGTTTTCCCTCCATCCCAGCTTCAGCACTTCAGAGAAAACCATAGTGATTTAGAAGTTTAACTGCAATTAAAGACACGAGCATTGTAAAACTATAGAGCAGAGGTAAGGGCATGGAATTTGTGAGCTTGGTGCCACCAAATGTCTAGATTGAATGTGCTATGTAACAGCTCTCTATGTTTGTGTTTATGCTTACAGTTCACAACATTCATACTGTGGGAGGAAGAGAAAGTGACACAGGAAAAGGGGAAAATAATTTCTGATGAAATTGGACTGAATTTAGCATGCTCAAAACAGAAACTGGTGGGGTCTAGAATATCACCAAGCCCTCCAACATCAGTCAGGACACACATGCCCTTAACAGACATGCAGTAAAGCTGTTACCCATCTGAACAGTCTCAATGACTTGCTTTAAGCTTAAGTGTCTTGCTATCTTATAGCACAGCTGCACAGACTTTTATCAGCTCTGCAATTCTTGCAAATGACTCCATATCTGAGATTCAGTTTCCTATGCAACTAATCAACTTTAGAGCAATTAATGGAGATAAGCTTAGTGCTGTTTTTTTCTGTGCTCTGAGTGCTAGCTAGAAATACAGCACCTTTAGAAAAGTAAACAAACCAATAGGGAAGTAGAGGGAAAAGAGAAAAAGGAAAGGATAAGGACTGACTGACCCAACTAGGATATGGAAGTAACAATGGTCTTATCTCAGATTCCCAGAAGCCTGAACTGAGGTTACCAGCTGCCACATTAGGCAATTGGAGAGCTAACTCAAACACTCTGCCAAAACCTCTCGGGTTATTCATTAAAACAAAGAGCCTTGTGTTGGCCATAGAAGAAGAAGCCCAAACAAAGACTCTCTGACCACTCTGTCCTCTTTGGTTAATGTGCTACAAAGAGAAAAACACACCAGTTGCAACAAATGTCAAGGCGCTGCTGGAAGAAATCAGAGAATTTGGACTAGTCATCATATAATGGCAGGTAAAAAAGAAAGCACTGCTGCTTTCTTTGACCAATACGGAAATTAATGTGCTTCCTAATATCTCCCAAAACCAGTGAAAGAGATTCTGCAAAACTCCAGTGAGAAGGACATGATTATGATCCTTGTTTCAATAGGGAGAAATAAGATGCAGAGATGTTAAATGGTTTGTTCAATACCTCACATAGAAATTAAATGCAGAACTGGATTAGAGCTTAATATCTTCTTTTATTCTCTTCTCTCTCCTCTTCATTGCTTTTCACTATGGCTTTATGATACTTGCAATCACAAATGCAGAGCTTAAAACAGTAGTGACAGCTGGAAGCCTCTTTGTGGGAAAGCTTCCCACACTGATCATCCAATATAAAACCATTTTGAAAGCAGGTACAAAAAAAGGTGCCATGCCTCTCCTCCCTACAGTTAACAGTGACATATACAGTGATAGAATTTAGGTTTGAAATATCAAATTTCAGTAAACTGTTGTAAGCAAATTGATTTATCTTCAAAACAAATAGGAATAAATATACGGATTTATAAAGCAATAAAATATTATGCCTTAAGAGACAATCATTTGTGTTCTCTCAGCAAAGAAAAAAAATCTGTATAGCGCTGTAAAAATTAGGGAGAATAAAAGAGATCATGCTGGCTGCCTGTCTAATCATAGAATCACAGAATGTTTTGTGTTGGAATGGACCTTAAAGATAACCCAGTTCCAATCCCAGTTCTGTGGCAGGGCTGCCACCCAGCAGCTCAGGGTGCCTAGGGCCCCATTCAACCTGGCCTTGAATGCCTCCAGAGATGGGGCACCCACAGCTTATCTGGGCAGCTGTGCCAGGGCCTCACCACCTTCTGAGTAAAACATTTTCTCCTAATATCTAATCAAAATCTTCCCTCTTTTTGTTTGAAACCCATTCTCCCTTGTCCTATTACTATCAGACCATATATAATGTCAGTCTCCCTTGCGTTTATAAATTACTCCCAAGTACTGGAAGGCCACAATGAGGTCTCCCTGGAGCCTTCTCTTCTGTAAACTAAACAAGCCCAATTTCCTCAGTCTTTTTTCTAAGAGAGATGCTCCAGCTATCTGATCATCTTTGTGGTCCTTCCCTGGACCCACTTTAACAGCTCTGCATCTTTCCTGTGCTTGGGACCCTAGGCCTGGAAGCCATACTCCGGATGGGGCCTCACAAGGGTAGAGTACAGTGGGGCAATCACCTCCCTCCTGGCCACCCTTCTGATGCAGCCTTCCGGGATACAAGCACAAGCTGCTGGCTTGTGTCCAGTTTTTTGTCCATCAAGACCCCCAAGATCTTCTCTGCAGGGCTGATCTCAACGAGTTCTTCTCCCGGTTTGTATATATGTATGGGATTGTCCTGACCCAAGTGGAACAACTTGCAATTGGCCTTGCTGAATCTCATCAGGTTCTTGTGGGACCATTTTTCAAGCCTGTCCTGGTCCCTTTTGGCATCCCTTCAATTTGCAGTATCAACTGCACCACTCATCTTGGTGTCATCAGCAAACTTGTTGAGGGTGCACTCAATCACATTGTCTAGGTCACTGACACAGATGTCGAAGAGCATGGCTCCCAAGGCTTACCCCTGGGGGACAACACTCTGACCAGCCTCCACCTGGGCATAGAGCCATTGACCATAACTTTCTGGCTCTGAGCATCCAATCAATTCTTTGTTGGGCTATTGGATGCATTGCCTTCTTGGAGGAGCCCTCCCTAATTCCTGTGGGACAAATATAAGGTTTTCTCTTGCTGCTTCCTGAAGTGACAGTGTTCCCTGGCTCTTCTCTGTCACTCAAAAGTACATCCTATTTCTCCATCAAATCTAGTTTAAAGCCCTGGTGATCACTAAGCCAGCTTTCTGCCCAGTATATTCTTGCCTCTCATGGTCAGTTGCATCCTGTCTGATGTCCACATGTCCAGTCTCTTGTAGCTGTATCCAAGATCACAGTACTTGAAACCCTTAGTGTGACACTATCCATACAGACATTCATCCAATTCGTCTGCTTTACTCCTCCTGCCCAGTTCTCAAAACTCCAACTGGGAGGACAGAGAAGAATACTACCTGTGCTCCTGATCCCTTCAACATCTTCCCAGGGAATACAAAGTCATTTTTAATATTTTGTAATTTCCTAGTTGCCTCCTGTGACCCAGCCTTAAAGAGCAGGAGTGAATAGTAGTCCTCCAGCTTATCATACCTGGTAGTCTCTTCCTGATACCCAAATGTGGGCACCCAGCAGGCAGCAAACCTCTAGATAGATTATCTGGGCAGCAAAGGGGTGCCTCAGTGCCTCTCAGCATGGAGTCCCAAATTACTAAGACTAATGTACAAGACAAAATGATTCTGAAGAGTATTTATAGTCTTAGAAGAAATGTTTGCTCTTGAAATTCTAAATGCGATTTCTAAATGATTTCTGCTAGTGTCTTTACTTGTTTCTTCTATACTGGGGAGCTGTATTTGTGCTTTTCCTAGAAGTGCATTATCTTAAAGCATCCAGAATTTGTGCACGGTGTTCTTCACAGAAAACCCACAGATATATAATGGTTAGGCTAACTACTGACATATTTTCATCAGAGAATCTTCCCTGCTTTGTGCCTTTTTAATTATTCTGATTATCACTATTTCCATCGCCACTATATGTCCATATCACTGCTCATGAATACACACTTGACATAAAACATTACACTATCATCATTACTATTCTTCCCACCTTTAAAAGATTGTATCTTTCCATATTATCATCTACACAGATGGTGTTTTCCAGCAGTACTGATAATGTAAATATCACTAAACTATCACTGTGTGTAGAGCGGAGTGAATAAAGTAAAAGATTATATTTTACTGGAGAACATATGAAGTAAAAGTTTTGCTTTAATGCCAGAAAATTCTCTCCTGCAGTCTGACATGACTGGGTCTGAAGTGCAGCTTTGGAGGCTTGTGCTAAGGCCTTCCACATGAGGGTGAACTTCACCCACAGAGGGAAAAACCATGGAGAAAATTACAAATAATTAAAAAATGTACAAATCTGAAACTAATGCAACCTACTTGCCAATATTTTAGGACAAGGAAAGAAGGGAAAACCCGATTAGTACATTGCTCACTTTGAGTTACTCCTCAGCTCTGATTATACATAGACACCTGTACAAATCACAAGGTATTTTACAGGTAATACCTTTTCTGTGAAAAACTGGATTTCAGATATGATGCAGAAGGGAGGTAAGTATAACTAGACCTGTTGCTGGCTGGTTCATACTTTACATCTTTGCCAGAATCTTTAGGAATATCTGAGTATTCCAATAGATGAAGCCTCCTAAAGTATTAATAATATTCTCTCAATATTTTCCTTTCTACTAGAGAATTCTGCTAGCTAGATATATTTTGTGTAGGAGTGGAGAAATGCCTAGAAAAAACAATGACCTCTCCAGCATGCTATGTAGAAGCTTATGCTTTTATAGCTGTTGGTATGTTGCCCTGGGTATATCTGATTACCCAATGCCTGAAACAGCTACTGGTTTCCTCAGAAACCAGGCCTGGGATTCAATGATGATAGCTTTCAGACCCAAAGATCCAGGAAAAACAGTCGCTGGACCAGAGATCTTCACTATTTCTGAAAGGGCAAAGATATTGCTCCTGCTGGAAATTCTTGTCAATTGGAACGTTTTTCTCTCTCCTGTGATCATATCTAAAAAAAGACTACCTTTTCTCTGTTTTAGTAGGTGCAAGCTTGATTTGGCCACTTTCTCCAAGATTGTAAACTGATTTTCTGTCTCTGCCATTTGACTCTGAAAACAGTCAACACTGCCAGAGCCTTGAGGCTCAGAAGTTTTAAGGGTAAATTTTGTACAATATGAGAGTCCAAGTCTGTTTTTTTTTTCTACCTCACAGCTCTGCCACCTTGACTGCCTTCCAGTTCTGGTCATGTTTTTCTAATGCCCTGCGTTTTTTATCTCAAATTTGTCAGAAATTTCCTTCGGGGGAATTTACAGTAATTCTAGGGACATTTTTGTAGCTGAGCCTGCATAAAATTCATTCTTTAATCACCTCAGACAAGCTTTATATAAGATGCTGACCAGTGCTCAAACGGGAAAAGTCAGGCCCTATGCTGCTACAAGAGCAGATTTGTTCCAAGATCTGCAATATGGGTAAGAAAGGAGATGACGTCTCCTACACCTCCCTCAAGCTGAAAAACTCCTTCCAAATCAAGCTGATGCTTTGGAAGTGCATTTCTGCAAGAAGAAGTAACTGTTTAATGGACACCACTGTGGAGAGAAGACAGAAAGAAAAGTAAAAATAGGAGAGATTAAAGTCTGGAAAAGTCTGGCTTCTTTGTAGAGCTGCTGCTTCATGCCAAACTTCTCTGAAGGAAAAAGGCTGGCAACATCTTTTGCCTATAGGTGCTTGTGTTGACACTTAGACCATGGTTGAGTCTCCTGGAGCTGGTATGGACTCCTCATTCAAATACTGTTTTGACTTACAGTAGTATTTCAGGCTCTGCCACCCACAAAACACCAGAAAACATCACAAGGCTACCTGCTCTTTTGTTTTCACTTGGTCTTTTGCATGGGAATTCAGAGCACAAACTCAACGTTATCCTCCCAGATTTTGGTTAATCAGCATGGTATCAAGTGTCTTCAGTCCCCTATAACCGACTTTTGACCAATCCAACTCAAATCAGGAACATCTAATCTGTTCACTCCTCCCCATCCTGCCTTGGTTGACGGAAGATGAGGACCATTTGCCTAGCACTCCCACTACCCAATTAATGGTAGAAAAAGTGAAAAAAGCACCATGTTAGTGACTTGAAATTACACACGTTCTGTAGCCCTCATACATTCTGAAAGAATCACAAAAGTACCTTGTGATTTTAAATATTCTTAATAGCCGAACACATCTCAACACAGAAATGCCCAGTGGTGACATGATCTTCGTCTCAACCAGAATGGTTTCCAGGATTCCTCCACACACAATGAAACAGTCAAAGCGGTTGAAGAGGGACACAAAATAGGCCTGGAGACCAAGGCTGTACATCTTCAGCAGCATCTCTGCCGTGAAAAGAGCTAGCAGCACCTTATTGGCAGTGTCTCATGAAAAACAAACAGAAACAGATTAAAGAAACTTAATCAAAAGATCATAACAGATTAATTATTGACCCTCGCTTGTAAGAACCCCCTTCCGGGATCAGTCTGAAAGAGTAACGTTATCCAAGCTTGTTTGAAAGAGTAGACTTAAAAGGTGTGGGCATGTCATCCGCAGAAATGTTTTACAAGGATGCTTACAGCAATTCTTATGCATTGCAGATACAGCTGTGATGTATTATACAACCACACAACCTCCGCGGCAGGGATATGCCTTCCTGTGCTCAATCTCCCATCACACTTGTCATCTGCAGATGGGAGCAGGAATAGAAGAGCTGCTGTGCTACCTGCTGTTGCTTAATTAAGCCTTTCAGCTGCTCTCACGTCCAGTGAAGATTCAACTGTTCTGAAGAACGAAGAATTTAAAAACTCATTCTTTGCCACTTTGCTGGTAGTTAGAATTTATCATAAATGCAGTTTCACAGAATCACAGAATCACAGAATGGCCAGGGTTGGAAGGGACCTCAAGGATCATGAATCTCCAACCCCCCTGCCACAGGCAGGCATCAACCTCCCCATTTAATGCTAGGCCAGGCTGCCCAGGGCCCCATCCAACCTGGCCTTGAACACCTCCAGGGACGGGGCATCCACAGCCTCTCTGGGCAGCCTGTTCCAGCACCTCACCTTTCCCTCTGTAAAGAACTTCCCCCTGACGTCCAATCTAAATCTCCCCTCCCTCAACTTAAACAATTTCCCCTTATCCTGCAGTTATCAACCCTTTCAAAGAGTTGATTCCCCTCCTTTTTGTAGGCTTCCTTTAGGTACTGAAAGGCTGCAATGAGGTCACCCTGCAGCCTTCTTTTCTCCAGGCTGAACAAGCCCAGCTCCGTCAGCCTGTCTTCATAGGGCAGGTGTTCCAGTCCCCTGATGATCTTTGTGGCCCTCCTACTTTTCCAGGGGAAGACCCTGGAAAACTTATAGATTCCAGAAGCCATCCATAAATCAGAAATCCGATGGCTGCAGATATTCAATTAGCATAAGCTCCTGATTTCACTTACACCCAGTGGAACATCACTTTGGCTAAAAATGAGGGATTCATATCTTCCCCGAAACCTCTCCTTATGTGGGTTGATGTTTTGTTGTGTTGTTTAAGATCCTCCTCAAAAAGGGGACTACTTGCAGCTGCACATGTTCCTTTTACACTCTGTAGCCTAATAGCCTAACACACCAGCTTCTCCCACAGCCCTCTTTCTTAACACTGAACAAAACAAACAGAACCATCACTCTCTCCTCACCTTGAACCTCAGTGAGCCAGTCTGGCTGGTTGTAGTGTTCAGAAGCAATGGTAAGGGTGTTGAGAAACACAAGGAAGATCACCAACCAGTAGAAAACATTGGACTTGACAGCAGCACGGCACTTTCGTCTGCAGAATCGATTCCATCGGCGCCAATAGCGACTTGAAAAATTAGAAAAGGAAAAGTGCTTTTTAGACAGAGATCTTTAGGCTACTGCAAATCTCTGTGAGAGTGACTCTGGTGTTGATTCATTGCTTGAAAATGGTAGGGAATAACTTTAAAGTTCACCCTGAGAAACATGCTCTTACTCTCATCTGAGTCGACAGCTGTGATCATCGTTTCTTTAGCTCTAGGAATAAAGTTAGTCCTAAACCAATTTGCAACATTTAAGGGTGAATAAACCTCTTCAAGCAATATCTTAATCTGATTAAGACATCTATCACAGCTACCCTAAGATGTCTTTCAGTCCAATTCCCACAAAAATCATTATTCTTCCTCTATATAATGCCTGTGGCCTGAAATGGAACTTGGCCCAGCCTTGGGATAGTCAACGAAAAGATTCCCACTGTGTACAATGGGAGGTGTACAATTGGAGAGTGAGATAAAATAGAATACCCATAGAAGGTATCCAGCAGTTGGCAATGATCAGAAACTAGCGTAATCCCAGAGCTAACTCTGAACAGAAAGATTTAGGGGACCTCAGTACCTTACCTTTTTGCCTGGAGCTAAGGATACCATTTGTTAATCAACAGATCTTTTAAAGTTTGCCTTCCAAGAAGACGTTCTCTTGTGTCACTGATTTCTGAGGGTAATTACTAACCACAGAAGATATTTAAAGCTAATTACACACCTCCTACTCGTCAGAATTTAACTTGCATAGCAACCAGTCTCCAGGCAACACTTGCCACTGTATAATAAAACTAATAGTTTTATATAGATATTATATACATTATACACACAGGTGTCCGTTGTGCTCTTCAGATGCACACATAAACATTGCAGGACAGAGGGGGAGAGAAAATCTCTTGGTTAGTTTTTTCTTACATATAATTTCCAGTGATAAACTGTGGCCATGCTTGAGGTCAGGGCTCAGTATATAGATAAAATAAAGCCAGGCAATGTGCACACTGCACACCGGCTGAGAATTTTGCAACAGCATTTTAACAGGCAATAAAATCCAGGCTGTTTTAGCTTTGTAATTAGCTTTGCATCTAGTCTTGGTAGCTCAAGCATTTAATCAGGGCTGCATGTTTAGCAAGTGGACTGTGGACAGGAAATGATCTTTCAATTTTCAAAATGGTCACAACACTGATGTGTTTACATTCTCCTTAAACCATCAGCAATCTTACAGTTTTCTGTGTATTTTGCACTAATGGAGAAGGAACATCACCATGTGGTGATACAAATGTTTTCTTGTGCTTACACTTGACATAATTAAATCCATGGACTGTATGAATGTGATCAAGTATGCAACACTCTGCAGAGGGATGCATATTGGCAATACATACACATGCAGATTCCTGAATTTACATTACTGTCCCTTATTTAAGTAACATTTTAATCCTTGTCTCAGTTCCTGTGAAAGCTAATTTACTTTTCTATAAAATTGACATTGAATTCAGAGTTCAGTGGAGGCTGCTGGACTCCTGCAGAAGAGGCAGAAATGGAATGGGATGTCAACAGTGAAGTTACATGGATTTGGTCAGCTTTTACAAAGAAAACCCACAGATGATCACCAGCAGATTGATGTACATTGTTAAGAGTTTAAGTCAACAGAAAGGGAAGTATCACCAGAAAAGCTTCACATGTCTCACAGTAAAAGAGAGCAATTCACAAATAATCTCAATATCAAACTTTGTCAGTTGAAAGACTTACAGTCAAGCAGCACAGAGTAATGGAACCCAGTGTAGGAAACAGAACCTTGAGCTGACAGGGTTGATGTTATGGGCACAATGTAATTATGTGGTAGAACTTTTTTTCCTTCTGCTTTAATTTTTTATGGTTCAAGATGCAGAGGTAGCAATCAGATACGTACTTTTCAGTGAAATATTCTCAGTAGTCCCTGTGCCTTATATCAGTATGAAATTTAGAAAAAGTATATTATTATTTAGTAGATGATTGACTAAAATCTACCAAATATGGCAGCATGCCCTAGAATCAAGACTGTACCCCACAGATGCAGGAATAAGCCATTCCACAAGGTAAGGAACAAAATCAGTGCAAAGGAGGAAAACAAAAGTTACTTACCTAAATTTAGATTTGGAGATCCGATGCCTGAAAGATAAGAATTGCCATTAAAGTCTCTGAAGTTTTTCCATACCTCCTAAGGCTTTTATGAGAACAGCAACAGAAAGAAACAAGCTCAATTAATTTTTTGCATGTATACTCTTTTCCTTTGGAATCCCCCGTAGGCTCTGGACAGGATTAGGATTCCCCGATATCCAAACCTGTTTTTTGGTGGGAGTTATGAAGCAGAAATCATGCTGTGATAGGAGTCTACCACCTACTAAGATCAGCAAATAGCCTTTTTCTTGGGTAAAAGTATGGCCTAAAGCTAGGGTTACTATACATCTGCTACTAAGTTTATTTTTTGAGTATGACTCTTTTTCTTTTAGTCACTAGTTGTTTATATACCTGTATTAAAATATACATGACATATACACACAGACATATTGCATTCACATATCACCTGTCACTTCAAGATGTATAAGCACATTATGAAATCATGGGGAAAATAATGTTTTCTTTTTCTCCTAGCAATTGAGGGAAAAGCAGTATACAGTGATTGTTTTCATACTTAGATAATAACACTCATATTTATTTGTCTTTGTTATCTGTGTAAAGCAATCTGAATTTAAATGGGCTGAACAATCAGAAATTCTGTCACTGTCAATGAAATTCTGGTTATTAAGCTCTCCTGAAAGTTGAGCCATGCTCAAACTATATACATGTCTGACTATCTAAATCCATGCACTCAGGATCATTCTCTTCAATAATGCCATTAGCTTTATACAAGAAGTCACAGGCAAAGCTAGAGACAAACCCTAGTTATATAGCTGCTATCTTGCCCTGCTTGCCCCTTGTACTGTAAGTCCCAGAAACTCTTAGACTGTCTTGTGGTATGTACAACACTAGTACAGGCAGAGAGAGAACAAAGGTATGTGGATACAATGACATTCACCAGAGATGACTTAGGGAGCTTCAAAATCCACTACCAACAACAAAAGAAATGAAGATTTGGAGAGTGACTGTGAATGAGACTTTCCTGCTGAATGGAAGTATTTCTTAAGGTTCCCGCTATGATAGGAAAGTGATTCATTGTTGACAACAGTCAGAAATGGTCTCCCTGCACTGGCTTAAAAATGGAGCTGTGTTAGCAGACACAGGGGAAAGCAATTCTTAAAGCATCCAACGCTACCTCCCGTAGTAATCTTGAACCTGTTTGAGGACATTGGTCACTGACAAAAAATGATGGGTCAGTTTCCTTATGTGGAAGAGATTTTAGTGATAGAAGCATTTCACCAGCAGATGGTCCAAGTCAAAATAAATAAAAATAAAAGCTTTTGCACTGAATACATCCTTCTTGCTATGTCACAGGCAGCTTGTCTAGGCCACATACTAGGCAGCAGCGTGGTTTCAGACACATGCAAGAATTATTTTGATAAAGAAGAAATAACACACTGGCTGAACAGAATGCTAAACTATGCTGAGGAGACAATGGAACTGTAATAAGAATGGCTGGTGAAGCACCTACACAGCATATCCTTAATGTTAATGCTATCCCAACATCTTACTGAGAAGTCCTGCTTAAAGTGGCCTGCCTACTGTAATGGATCAGATTTAAAGGCAACAGGAAGGATCAGACAAGGCCAGGAGAAAGAAAGAGAATAAAAATAGTGCAGTGTGAGACAAGGCTTGGTGCTGAAAAAAGAGAGGGAAGACTTTCACAGGAGAAAGCTTCAGGTGGGGTGGAAAGAGAGCAAGAAAGATATAATGGGGTACTTGACCAGTGGAAAGTAAAAGACAGGGAGTATGAAGTCCTCTGATGACCTCTCAAATGATGGCTTTCCAGTGAGGGAGCTCTGCTGCATTTAAGGGTTCTTTTATTTATTTAAGCAGAAGAGATGTGGCAGGTGTAGTGTTCATCACACATGTGATAATTACATCTTTGGAGCATTATGAGCAACAGCCAAGTGCATTCAGTGCTCCGACAGGTTAGCTGTTCCCCCCGCCCCACTGCCTTACTGTTATGGCAGAAGGCTTTATCACAAGTGGGTGTGATATATATATAGAACAGGACAAGGGAGGAGGAAGAGATTTATATTTAGAGGCAGAATCCGAGAATGAAGTTGAGTTTTGGAAACACAAATTGTGCAATAACTGTTTTTTAAAATATTATGCCCTAATCTGAAACATATTTTTTACAATGACACCTTCGCCTTTCAGAATGAGGGTTAACACCATACACAGAATGCACATATGGCATTTTTCAAGTCATCAAATGGCCTCTTTGTGACATTCCAAACTGGCACTTGCCAGGGGTTCAGAATGAATCAGATCCTCTGGTATAGTTTTAAAAACAGATCTCTTGTGCTCCTCATACTCTGGATGTTTTATGTCTTTGAAAGAAAGGAATCTTCCTCAGGTGGAGCTCTGATATGTCTTGAGAAATAGTTGTTGGTTATTTTTTTCCAAATATGATATTAGAGCTTATATGACAAATATTTCAGATCACTACTGAGTGTTTTTGTCATAGGATCCATGTAACTCAGATTACATCTTAAAAAAGATGAAATCAGAAATCAGACCTTTACCATTTGAGTAGCTATGTTCAATTTTCTAAAACTCTTCTAAACCTTACCCGGTTAAGGTAAAGTTACCACATGCGGATAAAACAGTGAAACATAAAAATTTTATCAGCATAAGCTTGGGACAGTGAGCACAATTCAGATACATCAGATTCAGAGATATCCCATATTCTGAGAGATAAAGCAGCACAACAAAACCTTGGAAAGCATTCTTCCCTTTCTATCTTCCTGCTGATGGAAGGGCATTTCTTTGTTCTAGTAGGGATGTTGGAATCCCTGAAGAATAGATGCCCACCCTATTCATTCCTACACATTCCTAGGACAAGAGTATACAGTGACATAACATTTTCATTTCCTAATAGCCTCTCTGTAAAATGAAGTCTTAGGGATAAGTTCTACCCTCAGCTACATCTCTGCAATTTGTCCTGAAGCAATGGACCTCCAGCTTGCTATCTTCGCTACAATACAATTAATACTGCAGTATTATACAGTGATACACAATGATCATTTCTCATTTCTGTCCGTTTATTAAAAGCTTCAAGCAAAACACTCTGGCCCCAGAGAACTTGAACTATGAAGCGGATTGAAATCAAGCACTGAAGAGCATGCTGACCCAAAGGAGTGATGCTGGGTTTAAGACAGAGGTGGCTGTTTGCTAGCAGCAATAAGAATCTAAAGAATATTCTTAAGGAAACTGGATCTATCTATTTTAAAGTTTAGGTGGTTTGCTATTTATTAGGCCTTCTTGATCTGGAAAACAGACTGGAGAAACAGGCCAGCACTTAAAAGTGAGTGAATAGCCCTGCTCCCCCTTTGGCAAGTCACAGGTAAGGCCTGTCACAAAATGTGAAGCAGGAAGATAATGCCTCCTCCACAAGGGCATGCTGTTGTCCTGAGACACGTACCTAGAACTGACGGTGAATAACAAGAATGCCATGCTTATAAATAAACTGGAGAGCAGTAGTGAATGCTGATATGAAAGGGTTGCTGCCATGCGTTTTCCTTCTAAAGTCAGCAGAGGTTTCAGAGCTTTTGGCAAACTCTTCTTTCCGCAGCTCCTGATGTGATTGAGAATTTGGTCCTCAAAGGAATCTATCTTCTCATTAGGTCAAAACCAATGGCAACTGTACTGAACCCGAAAGCAAAATGACCCTTTCTGCTTTACCACTGGCTGCTATGTTGATTATTGCAAGAGTTGCATAAGGAGCTGTTGTACAGACAGAAAAGCACCAAAGGAAAATCACCAATGGTTTGGCTGCCAAGGAAAGCTTCCATTGTCTATATTATTTTAAGGACATTGCATTTTCTGAAAAGCCAGTGTAGATTGTTCATTTTATTCTATCCTTTTTTACATTTTTAACCCTCTTCGGTGGAAAAGCAATTGCACTGTCCCCCAAATATATGGAAATCCCATCCAAGGTGAAAGTGCCAAGTGGCTTATTATTTCAGGGAAAGCAGATCATTTTAAGTTCTCTTCCTCTTTGAGCTCAAGTGCTTCAGTTTTCTACCACAGCTCCGTGAAACTTAAGTTTCCACAAAGGTCTCTTTTTAGCTAAGACATACTTATAAAAGCAAATTCTATTGTGGCACTCCAGGTCTGCATGGTTGTATTAGAAAATTAGCATTCTGGTTGTATTGGAAGATTATACACGCTGCCATCCTGCGCAGAACAGATTACTGTTGATCATGAGCAACAGCCTGCTGGCAGGAATTTGAGGCCTGCTGAGCCTCAAAGAGGCTCAGAGAAATTACTCACTACTAGGTATAAGGCTGTCCTGTAAAGAGAAACCCATCGCTCCTAGTTTTGGGTTTATCTCATTGATACTTGTAGAGAAAACACATTTCTTTGTACCTGGAGGCAACAGGTTATTAAAGTTGTGACACACCAGAATTAAGTAAGTTCCACTTCCTGACCTTGAGGATAAAAGCTGTTGTGTTTCTACTTCAGGACAGATGTCAGTGCAGTACAAGGCAATGTCATGACAGAGATGACATGCTGTGGAATTCGTGGGACATTTTTCAGTGCTCCATGGAACCCCACAAGACCTTTTTTTTAAAAAAAAAATTTGGACACATGTTAAAGATAGCATCATTTTAGGAAGGAAAATACTCCTTTCCACAGCTCGCCTGATGGCAGTGGAATTACTAAGGATGAATACGAACAAAGTTTGTGTTTGCTTGTTTGTTTTAGTTTTAAGAAGCTGGATTTACACACTAAGCAGAAAGATTAGATACTACATTCCTCCTGAAACTCCTGCTGGTTTAAATCTGGCACTGCTCCAGACAGCACAGATGATAGTATGGATACTATAGGAAGAAAAGCTCCTTTGAAACAATCAGTAGGAGACAGCGTGTGTTTGAGAGGTAGTCTCCTGATCTCACGTAGCATATGTCTCTGTGGAGCTGAGAAAGGCTGTCAGGGAAGATCTCCTTTTCTAAAAGGCATGCTTGAGACTGGCTTCTCAAGCAGATCTTTCTGTCATTCACAGATGATGCCTTTCAAAGCTCTGCAGCTTTTTATAAGAACAAAAAGAACAGCCAGTAATACGGAGTTATCTTTAATAAAAAGACATTCTCCTTCAGTCTCCTAGGTACGTTTTCTTTTTATCACATGGATATTCAGATGGCAAGGTCAGCCTGTAACCATGGTGGTGGTGTTGCTGAGGTGATTAAATGCCCTAACAGCTTGATGCCACTAAATAAATAAACATATTACCTCTGCCTCGAAATCTCCCTGATGCTTCAGTCACGTCTAGCTGCAGCTTGCCCAGTGCAATTTCTGACCCCGAGGAAGAACGTGTTTATAGCAAGACAGTGGGGACTTCTGGCCATTGGGTGACTTTAGTAGGCTGGTCAAAATCAAAAATCATCTGAAACTCAACACATGAAACTCAAAGCTGAACAGAAAACTTCTCTAGCCATTTCAGTTCTAAAAGACAAACTTCAGAATGCAGAGGAGTGCTCAAGAGTCTGGACTTAACCTTCAACTACAGTAAATCAGGATGTCATGATCACAATCATTAACACTTTAACACTTACTGAAAGTTCACTGGTACTATGTGAAGAACACATTTGAAAAACTCAACTTCCCAGAAGAACTACTTCTATCCTTGAACAGCACTGAGTTAATTATTGGATGCTCTGGCCAAATCCTAATGCTCTAAGTCATGTTCCACCAACGTTACTTACTACTCAAATCAGTTCATCCCTGCTTACATTTCATATATTCCTGATGGAATCAGAGTTCAAGACAAATCAAAATTTACCCATAAAAGAGGAATTTGCAGCTCCACAAATTTATAAAACCAGGAAGCACTGACAAATTTGTATTTTGATCCACACTTTCAAATGCAAAGATACAGTCATTCATTTTCCTGGTAGAAGGCTCCCATTCATCTCTTGGAGATGAAAAGCAATCTCCCTGAGGCCTTGAGGATTTTGAATGTCCTTGGGTAGGGGGGAGTTAAAAAAATCCCCTTCTCAATAACAGATTTCAATTTCCCTACTATATGCCTACTATATGGAATGAGGCAAGGAAACTGTTTTTCTCTCTCAATCTTATATGTACTGCTTTGGTGACACTTAGGCACAATTTTAAGATTTACAACATGGGAAGAAGAAGCAAAGTTCCATTTTGTTGTCATCTTTCTTTGCTTTGTTAAAATGCATTGGATACAGCCATTCCTTCTCCTAACACTGTGGGCATAGTGCGCACTGTGTCAGACCATAGGACTGTCATTCTCCCGTGGATATGTTGGATCATTTTCAGTAAACTACATTCTAAGTCATGTTTATGTTTAGAATTGGGTTAAACTTCAGTTCTCCTGGCTGCATTCCAATTTACAGAATTATGTTCTCCTTGCCAAAATTCCCCGTACTGTTTCAGCGCAAAACAAGTTATCTATCATACACCTCCTTATACACTCATGTCCTTTCTCCTTATGTTTTTAAACACCTGCCACATTTTACCCCGAAGGTAGCTAAACTCTAACACTGTGAAAACAATTGCTACACATACAGTTCATGAAGTGTTTTAGGATCCTCTGGGATTAAGGACATTAAATGAATGCAAGCTGTAATATTAAAAATATATGCAACTTTATATTAACAGTTCCCATTGTTGTTGGCACTGTGTAGCACCAGGGGACCCATTGTGTTAGGAACCATAATTGCAGAAGAGAGATAGTTCTCCAAATCAGATCCAGCTGGAAGAAGTGGTCACATATCCAGCTGCTGCTTCCTATTATGTGACAAGAGCACAGGCAGCTAAGTGAGGTGCTAAAGAGAGAGCTCTAACTGCCTTACTGCTGTGAATAGACCTTGACTGGTTCCTTCTGAAAAGAGTTCATAATCTAAACCAGACTCAGCAGGTAGACAACAGCAAGCAGGCGAAGGAATGCTATCATACTTTCTTCTAGAGTTTGTAAGCCACTGGCTGACACTTCCAGGAAAGCAGACTGAATTTATAACATATTCCACACATCACGTCTTATAATGCAGATAACATTGCTTCCTTTTCAGTCTGTAGAGGAGAAGGCCAGGGGTGTTTGAGGGAGATACAATCAAGGTTTATGAAATCATGAAAGTGATAGATTAGCTGAATGCAGAACTGTTGATCATCGAATCTCACAGTATAAGGAGGAAAGGGCATTGACTGAAAGTAGTAGTATATCAGCTTAAAACAGATACACTAAACTACTTGTCTACACAGCAGGTAGCGAGCAGCTGAAACTTGCTGCCACAGGAGACTGTGAGGATAGGCAGCATTAGCAGTTTCAGATAAATCCATGGCTGACAGGTCCATAAACGGCCTCTCAAGGCAAAAATGAGAAGCATCTCCTCTAAGATCTCTAACACAAAATCATGAATTCAGGAGCAGAAAAGTGGAATAAAAGGCAGGAAAAGACCAGGCTTACATGCTTCCCCTCCTGTTACTGTCAGGGTCTGAACACTGGACCACAGGCCTAACGAAGCAGAATTCTTCTTAGGTAGTTATGATCAGCAGTTGATCAAACAGAAGGGCTCAAAGTATGTCCAAGGACAGGACAGAGCCTCAAAGTATTCCAGCACAGTGCTTAGTCCAGTTTTTACAGAAATTAAAGAGGGTAAACATATTTCCAGGCAGCATAAGGTCCATTCTTATTTAAGTAATGCAAAAGGGAAGAAAGGACTCCTCTGGTCTATTCATGCTCACAGTGAAGCTAAAAAACATATCTTACAGTATAAACGTCTTCCATAAGTGCTATCTCACATGTTGTTGAGTCTGTCTACTTACTACAATGGTGTAATTTTGAGAAGGCCTTACCCCCTCCCAACTGCTGTGTTTATTTTTCACTATGATGTGCTCAGCACTTTAAGGGTATAATTCAGGCTGCAGGATGGAAGCTATCATGTGTATTTCAATTACAAGGCACTGTAAAGTGCAGAGGAGCCATTAGAGAAATTAAAATATACTGGTCAATTCCACTGTTTGGTCTGCATATACTGAATTTGATTAACTATCACTAAAGACCAATTTTAAAATAAGAACACTTATCCATTAGTTCTTCTTTTAGTTACTATGCAAACCCAGCTCTGCTTATTGTGGGAATTCTGTGATTTATTTATATCTGTGTAATCCCAGAGGCTACCTACTAACATCCAGAGTGAGTTTACATTGCAATTAAGATAAGAACTGGGATTAACAGGTCTTCTCCACCCTCTTTTAACCCGTAGTGTGATTTCCTTCCTCTTAACGAGTTTAACATTTGCCTTGACTTTAAACCACCAAGCTCAAGCCAGCACCTGCACACATATAACTGTGTATATGTACTCACGCTAGCCTAGCACCGCAGTTTTCTCCTTCAATATCTGTTCCAGGGACGTTGTCTGTGTTCACGGACTCGGTCTCACTGGTGGGCATGCTCACTGTAAGAGTCAAAGGGAAGAAAAAGAGAGGGTTGGCCATTAGAACCTGACACATCTATTAATGAATCACATCAGTCTTATTGAAAAGACCCTCTGCTGCAGCTCCAGAGGATCAAGCGCTTAGCTGAGCAAGTCTACTGCCTCCCTGCACAAACAAGGCTGAGCTGGTAGACTTTTGGAATACACACTGCTTACTCAAATGCTAAAGAAAGGGAAAGAATCAGCTGCTTGCTTTCTTTTTGAGTCAGTTCCTAGGAACTGTTATGAATGAGAATCACTAAAAACGAGAGAACCTGGCAAAACCAAGAAATAAGCATTTGCTTAATTCAATGAAAACTTACGAAGATGCCTCTTCACCTGCACCAGCACAACCGTTTTACTACCCTTTCCAGTCTCTTCTGGAGTGGAGTGCAAATAGCAAGTACCAGACTCAGAAGGAATCAGATAAAAGGTTTCAGTTGGCCTGATAGCAAGTTCCACATCAGTAATACTGATGGCCCATGTACTGTATACCACTGTTAATGGGTTTTAACCTTGCATTTAGAGCCTGAACTTAATGGGGTAAAGAGGGGAATTCAAACTTTCAGACCCTTTCAGATATTACCAACAAAGAAACTAATTAATATGAACTGTGGCAGAGATTTTATTTTGACAGTCATCAAATAAGAACTGGACAGAATCTCCTACACTTTTACAGAAATATAATGGAATAACCATCAAATGAAAGCAATCTTAGGTGTGAACCTATTTCATTAGGATTCAAGAAGGTGTCACATCCATGCGTTATGAAACCTTAATATTTTATTTGCTTCTGTAGATGAAAAAGATTCACTGTTTCCATTATATGAATTTCTCCCAGCTCCTATATGAACTGTAACTCCTTCAACATACGAACATTCAACATATGGTGGAAGAAAGGACAGCATTCAATGTGTCTCTTCCCTTTTCACCTCTTTTCAAATATATGACATTTTCAACGAGTAATGGAAGAGTTAGGTCTCTCAGATGGGATGTATATCACAGGTGAGTCTTGACAGTACACGCTATTAGCTGTGGGAGAAGCTTCTAATAGCTTGTCAAAATAGGTTACTCATTAATAAAAAAATATCTAATAGTAAGTCCTTGATTAAAAAATAAAAAAAGGAGAGACAGAGTAAATACGCTCTGCATTCCAGTTGGGCAGATGTTTAATGAGCTATGGGCTCAGAAATCCTTTCAGAAGCTACAAAGATACCAGAAGGTTCTTCCAAAGAGGTACTGGGTTCTTGCTTTGAAAGCATTATAAGCATTATGGCAGAAATGCCTCTCAAAATCTTTCCTGCACACAATCCCAATAATGCAAGTGCTTCCAAGATATGTCTTTGGAAATCTATAAGTTCTTGTATTGTGTTATTCAGGAACACAGACCATATGAAATAATGGTCTCTCTAGCACTCTTGACATAACCATGAAATACTGTACTCTAATGATGCCTGTTTCTTTACAAAGACTAGATGTTTTAACAAATCTTGTCTGTTCAGAAAGATGAATAAAGAAATCAACTGGATTCATATTTTGATGTGCACAGAAGAGTCAAATAAACTGTAAGAAAAAGAGACATTCGTAATTAAAATCTTCAAATTTTCAATCCAGATGAAGCCCATCAGGAAAAAAAAAACAAACACCAAAACATTGATATTTGGTATGCCATCTTTGAGGATGAGGTAAAGCACTTTTAAGACATATTTGAGCTTATTTGCAAATGGGAAACAATCTTGAAGACATTAGCAAGAGATTGATTTGCAGAACAGCTTATTATCTTAAGTGCATGAAGAGGACACTGCACAAGCAATAGCAAAAGCAAGGCACGCACATGCAGAAATACACAAAGATACATTATGTGTCAGTCTTTATAGAGATATATAGACAAACACACATACAAATATGCGTAGTGTGGACACCAAGTGCAGTGGAACATTACCATGGGTTTCTGTGGAGTGACTAAACCAAGAAAACTTTTCTTTCTTCTTATCAGGCAAGCCAGCTGGAGTGCTTCCTTTCACAGACAAGATGGTCAAGTACCAGGAACAAGACATCAATAGAGAACATGCAGCCAGTGACAGGCAAAAGAAAAAAACAAGGAACTCAGCTTGCACATGACATCCACTTCTCTCAGAAAACTTCATCACGTGAATTAAAAGTACAAAATGAAAAAATAAGGTACATAAAAGTAAAAAATATTATATCAGACCATCAGAGGATAACCTCCCCTTGCTTTGTGCTCTTTTTATAATTTATCTTCTGAGAATAATAAGTGGTTGAATTGAAGTTTATGGGTGAAATCATTTTTCCAATGATTTCAATGGCAAAAGTCTTCTTGTTTGACTGTCTGACTACTGAAATCAATAAGTCTAAGGCACTCACAACATACCCCAAAGTTTTCCTCTAATCTTTAGTTCCAGGATCTGGACCAGCCCATTTTTGAATCAGATTTCTCGTTCTTTTTTTCCTAAATTTTTCCAGTATCAAGAAACTTTCCAAAAGTGATGGAGATGCTAAAGAAAAATTGTTGGGATAATTACATTTCTCAGTCTTTTCTCTGTCTTTTCCATGGTTCAGGCTAGTTGCTGACACTAACTCCCAAGCATTCACTCCACTGCACTGTTGGTAAATGTTAAGGACAGTAAAAAGTATTACAAAGCTATCATGTATAAGAAGAATGAGGGCCAGAAGTTAAAGGCCAGGATGGACAGGAGATGTGGACCATAATCTCAAACATGGTATGTTCTCAGCAGGACAACCACTTAATTTTATGTGGCAACTCACATCATCTTCAGTATCATGGATAGTCATGTGCATAGCTGCTATGAGGTTCATTTAGGCCAGTTAAAAAATCCTGAAAACTGAAGTTGCCACAGAAGATTTATGTATAAACTGGGGCTGAATATGAGATGAAGTAGACCAACTATTGCCCACACAGCTTTCTTTCTGATTCAGTTCTCAGAGATGCAGACCTTTTGCCCAAACCCCAGCTCCAGTCTAGAAGCAAGGCAGGCATTTTCTGCAGTCAGGGTAATTAATTATTGGAACTATGCACCAAGAATGTTGGTAGTGAATCCACCACAAGAATGTTTTAATCATGAAGAGATGTTTTTCTAAATGGTGGGCTCTAGTCCAGACCAGAGCTATCAGGATCATGCTATACGGACTATGCCATCTCAGTGACTTCTTCCTCTTTGTAATTTTGGAAGTTGAGACAAAAGTGCATTTCCTCCTATCTAGACACAAAATGACTTAGTGATGGAAATTCTGGTGCCTCACCTCCTGCTCCATATGTGATCAGTGACATATGCACTCTTACAAGGGCTGTTTGCTGTCAAGTTCAAAAAATCAACTCCTTGTACCCAGATCAGAGGTCCCCACAGGGCTGGGTTCTGCCAGATGCAGTGTGCGCCTTGACCTTCAAGTAGATCCATAGATCTTCCATCTACCACAGGCTTTGTCTTGCAAGGCAATTCAGTATCCAAACTACACCACAGGCATTGTATCCTCATGCGCACAGTTCAACTGCACACCTGATACCTTGGGATATTAAGTTATACCTTAGAGTCGTAGTTGAATGACTGAATACCTATACTGTAGAAGGTGACTCCTTGGCACATGTGAGAGCAGGTTGTTAAAAGAATGAGAAAACATTTCCTCCTGACAGTTTGCCTTTGCAGGACTGCACCAGGAGCAGCAGTGCAGCTAACAGTGAGATGAGCACACTGAGCAGGCAGTTTGCCTCAACCAAACCAAACCAAGCCAAACCACTGCAGTGAACTACTAACAACCACACAGGGCTAGAATACCTTTGGGCAGCCTGGTCTAGAGGTTGGCAACCCTACCCACAGCAAGGGGGTTGAAACTAGATGATCTTTAAGGTCCTTTTCAACCCAGGTCATTCTATGATGATGCCATAGAAGATATGCAATCATGGTGGCTTTGCTTACATTGCAATCTTTTTCTGAATTTATCTTTAGTGATCACATCCATAATTCACTCAGGTTGATGGAATCTCCCATTCATTACATTTTTCCAAGGTAGCATAGGAACTTCTTTCCAAAGGGAAGTGAAACAGCTTTTAAACCATGCAGGTATTTCATGATTTTGATAGAATGCAAACCATGACGACCAGTATGTTTTATACTCTACAGTCGCTGAAATATTTGCACTTCTTACATCTCTCCACAGCATGGTTCATCTCTGAATACAGCATTTTCCTCCTGGACTACCTAAACTCTGATTTCACATTACTTACATAGCATTCCTACAGCAACTAAAGCAGCAAATGCTGTCTAGCTGCTTCCTTAAAAATAAACCTGAGATAAGCTTCATGTTGTGTTAATTCTAGCTCTGAAACCTAGTGGACAGAAATAAGGACAAAGTCTGCAGTCTGTGAATGGTTGTAGGCAGATGTGCAAGACCCTTTGAGAGCCTCTGTTCCATGTCACCGGCATCAAGCTTTGATACCAGCCCTGCACTTGCACTAACATATGTCCCTCCAACCAAATGCCCTGTGGACATGTAATAAATTACTAGATGGCAGGTTGCCAAGAGATAGCCAGCTGCTCAAGTAAAAAGATAGACAGCACTTTCAAATCCCCTTCAACGTAGCACTGAAATATTTTGTGCCTTTCCACACTTAGGGAATAATATATAGTTGCATTTCAGAAATATCACTACCACTGTTGCATTTTGCATTTGTGGCAGTCTTGTCATCTTGACAGTGAGGTAATTCTAATATTCAAATTTATCTCCATGGATTATAATGTTGCCACACTTGCTTGTTGCTGAATCTGACTTTAATGAATCTTGCCGTGAGAATTTAAAACCCAAATAAGATGATCCCTGGGCAAAGGATACCAGGTTCCACAAACATAGACAAAGCACACACATGTCACAGATGTTGATAGGATACATTACTAAATGACTATGTAGATCTTGATGTTAATTTTAGAACTGGATATGTGAGAAGCTGCATTGCCTGACTTGACATCTCTGATTCTATTTGAGCTATTTGAGTTAAGCTCCAGAGACAGACAGGTTCCTGTCACAGGTTTTCTGAGTGGCTCCCTCTGCCGCATGGACAGGCAGGGCATTTACCTTAGACACCTACACTGGGTACCGCACTTGGAACAGTGAGATAACTCAACAGTGTGTTCACTCCTATTCAAAGAGACCTGCAGTGAGTTTTCAGATTAAGAAAAGGAAAAATACACCTCAGTGTGTATTCTGAAGTGCTCATTAGGACTCCAATTCTTCCAGCACTCTAATTTCTGCTGGTATTGAATGACACTGCAAAATAAGGCCTAAGTCATCCCTTTTGCCCATGCTGCTAGTTGAGATCAGATTAACCCGATGTCACTGCCACTTTATTGTGTAACCTTGGCCATATGACCAAGTCTTTCTCACATATCTGTTCCATTTCTCTAAAATGGGGATTATAATTCTGCACTCACCTTGCAAATCTTTTTGAGATCTGTGGATGAAACACATTACACTAAGCCCTAAGTACTATAGCTATTACTGATGCTAATGCCTCCCGAGTGGGAATCCGCAGAACTATAAAGCAAATCGAAAGAGCAAAGAAGTCTTGTGAATTCTCCAGCTGAGATTTAAGATTTTTTTTTCCATCAAGCACAACAAGAATAAATTAAAGCATTCAGGCTGCTCCCTTTACCAGAATGTGCATAAAGTGAATGACTTTGTCTGCCCTAAGAACCCTGCTTCCCAAGGTGCCTCTCCTGCCCATCATTCCACGAATGAGTTTATGGACAGCTGTCAGAATCTCAATAGGCTCATCTTTTTTTTTTTTTCAGTGGAGGGCTCTCATTTTAATTAATATGTGAATATTGCTTAGTTTTCCTCTTCTCATTGCCTGTTCAGAAATGCTGTACTCATTCATCTTATTCATTAATGTAAATAAGATACAGCTTTTATTCTGCTACACGGGTTCACTGTCTCATGAACAATCAGTGAGTGTTCTTAAATGCAAGCAGCATGCACAGAGTAAATCATGCAGAGGTAAGTGAATATTTTTCTCTAGATCAATTCCTGTTTTTTTTTTTTTTTTTCCAGGAAAATATAATAGTTGTGGCTATTATATGGGATACACACATATAGGATATATGGGATATATGGGATATATGGGATATATGGGATATATGGG